TTTGGTACCTTTACTCCCCAGCTGGGAATGAGATTATGTGTTGTGGGCAACTTGTATTTAGGGGAAACAAATTATATTGGATTTCTTTTGGAAAATTTTTAAAATTTTAAAATTCTGAGGGCGCCTGGGTGGCTCAGTTGGTTAAGCAACTGCCTTCGGCTCAGGTCATGATCCTGGAGTCCTGGGATCGAGTCCCGCATCGGGCTACCTGCTCGGCGGGGAGTCTGCTTCTCCCTCTGATCCTCCCCCTCTCATGCTTTCTGTCTCCCATTCTCTCTCAGATAAATAAATAAAATCTTAAAAAAAAAAAAAAAGAAAAAAAAATTTTTAAATTCTGAAATGATTTCAGACTTAAAGAAATGTCAAAATAATACAAAGAATTTGTGTATCTTCACTAGATTGCCCAGTATTAACTATTATTATTAACATTTCATCTCGTTTTCTTTATTAGTCTCTCTTTATATACATACTGTCTTTTTGGGACCACTGGATAGCAAGTTGCTGACATAATGTAATGCCTTTTTCTTCCTAAATACTTTATTTAGTATGTATTTCCTGAAAACAGTTTTGTCTTCATAATCACATACAGTGATCAAATTCAGGAAATCAACTATGAGATCTCCCCATAGTACTAATCAGGAGTAGAAGATGTTGGGCAGTTCGCCATGATTGCTTTGGCGTTGGGGGGCAGGGGTGGGGGGCTGGCGGGCATGGCTGGGAGCATGTGGCTAATGGGCCACGTCCTTTCATTACTGGGGAATCCGTGTGGCTAACCCTGCATGGCTTCTCCTCTGCTCCTCATTTCCTGCAGATTTCCTCCTCTCAGTCAGGGTTAGACCTGAGGGAGCCAGAGGGCTGGGCCCACCGGTCTCCCAAGCTGGCCCTCCAGAGCCAGGCCCCATTTCTGGAGATGGGGGGCTATAGGAGGCTGGGCTCCCTGTGCTCTGCAAGGGCAGGAGAGGGCTGTAGCTGCCTCCCTTGCACCCCATTCCCTTCCTCTTGGTGGGGTAGGATGATCTGGGCGTGATTAGGCCTCTTAGGGGAGAGCTGAGCTGATGGCCTGGCCTCCACGTGACAAGTGTGCTGGCTATCCTCTTGGGCCACAGTCTCCGAAGCTTTGATCATGCTTTCCTGTCAGAATGAGTTTTGATCATGTACATCTCTAGGAATATGTTATGTACATTATAAAATAGGAAGAAAACCCCCCAAAATGTAAAGGATGAATAAACAGAAATTCTAGTATTTTCTTCCCTCACCTCAGGGACCTTGTTCTTGGTTCTATTTTCTTCCTCATTTACTCACTAAGGAATAGTATTACTGCTTTTTCCCCCTTTAACTGTAATCTGAGGTTGAAGACTTCTGGGCTTAAAAACATGATAGTTAGGGGCGCCTGGGTGGCTCAGTTGGTTAAGCGACTGCCTTCAGCTCAGGTCATGATCCTGGAGTCCCTGGATCGAGTCCCGCGTCGGGCTCCCTGCTTGGCAGGGAGCCTGCTTCTCCCTCTGACCCTCCCCCCTCTCATGTGCTCTATGTCTCTCTCATTCTCTCTGTCTCAAATAAATAAATAAAAATCTTTAAAAAAAAAACATGATAGTTAAAACCATACAGTAAAGATGGTTTTTTTTTCCCCGCCCCCGCCCGTTTTTACCGAGCTGTAAATGCAGACCTCCCTGTAGAGGCTGAGGGTAAGCAGCGCACTGCTGTCACTTAGGCGTGTTGTGAAGTGATGACCACACCCCGTCTGGTGAGTGTCCATTGTCTCATGGAGATACAGGCACAGAGAGAGATTGTTTCCTTGTGGCTGGAACTCCGGATTTACTCTCCGAACAGCTTCCGTCTTTATCATATGGCCGTGCTTGCTGCGGTCGTCGTGTTGTATCTTACAGCCAGAAGTTTGTGCCTTTTGATTGCCTTCACTTTCCCCTTCCAGACCCCTCTAGAAGGGATCTTTGAAGGCTGAAGGTTTCAGAGCTGATTTCTAACCAGAGCTCTTGGAAGTGGGGGATTATAGAAAGTAAAGCTCAGTTAAGGGCTTGTAAAGATGCAGTTTTTTCCTACCAGAGGACGTGTGATAATCACCTTCTATACTAGGCTCAACCAAGACTGTCACAGGTTTTCTTTCTTTTTAATGATTTTATTTATTTGACAGAGCGAGACAGCAGGAGAGGGAACACAATCAGGGGGAGTGGGAGAGGGAGAAGCAGTCCCTCCACTGAGCAGGGAGCCCGATGCAGGGCTCGATCCTAGGACCCTGGCATCATGACCTGAGCCAAAGGCAGATGCTTAACGACTAAGCCACCCAGGTGCCCCTTTTTAAAGAGCTTCTTAATGATTTAATAACTTCCTTGTGCCTTTCCATGAACTTGTAAAAGTGTATCAAGTAAACTCTGAAAAATATTTTAAAATATAAAACTTCTCTTAAATCCTCAATAGTAGTGATATTATAGGGAAATTATTCCTATAACTTATGAATGTGTACAGGCACACTCATTTTATTGTGCTTCACTTTATTGCATTTCACAGATACTGCGTTTTTTACAGATGGAAGGTTTGTGGAGACCTTGTATCAAGCAAGTCTATGGGTGCCATTTTTCCAACAGCATTCACTCACTTTGTGTCTCTGTGTCACATTCTGGTAATTCTTGCAATAGTTCAAACTTTTTCATTATTGTCTTTTTTTTTTTAAGATTTTATTTATTCATTTGGGAGAGAGGGCAGAGAGAGCACATGAACAGGGGGAAGGGCAGAGGGAAAGGGAGATGCAGAAGCAGACTCCCTGCCTAGCAGAGAGCCCAATGCATCTCGATCCCAGGGGGATCGCGACCTGAGCCAAGGCACGAGCTTAACCCACTGAGCCACCCAGGCGCCTCTATTGTCATATTTGTTATGGTGATCTTGATCAGTGATTATGACTTGCTGAAAAGTCAGATGGTAGCACTTTTTAGCAGTAAAGTTTATCTTTTTCAAGTAAGCTCTACTCTGAACATGGGGCTTGAACTCATGACCCTGAGTTCATGCTCTACTGACTGAGCCAGCCAGGTGCCCCCATAAAGTATTTTATTTCTTTAAGGTATATACATTGTTTTCTTAGACATAATGCTGTGGCAGATTAATAGACCATGGTATAGTGTAAATATAACTTTTATATGCACTGGCAAACCACAAAACTTCCTTTGGCCTGTGTTATTGCGATACTTTATTGTGGGGGGTCTGGAGCTGAGCCTGCAGTGTCTGAGGCCTGTACAGTGCATGTTGTTTTCATGATTTAAAAACATGTATGAAAGTAGTATAACCTGCAGGCTTAAACAAAGCCAAACAATAACATTTAGAGGCTAACTAATCAAAAATTTAGAAATAAGCATTAAAAAACCTCTGAGTTTTCGGGCGCCTGGGTGGCTCAGTTGGTTAAGCGACTGCCTTCGGCTCAGGTCATGATCCTGGAGTCCCTGGATCGAGTCCCGCATCGGGCTCCCTGCTCGGCGGGGAGTCTGCTTCTCCCTCTGACCCTCCCCCCTCTCATGCTCTCTGTCTCTCATTCTCTCTGTCTCAAATAAATAAAATCTAAAAAAAAAAACAAAACAAAAACCTCTAAGTTTTCTTACATCGCCTCCTCCCCCCAGAGTGTTAACAGCTGTGAATAGATTTCTACATGAATGGAATCCTGCTACATAAATGGGATCCATCTACTTCTGCAGTGTTTTTAAATGTTAGCAAAATATCACAAACTTATTTTCACATGAGTACAGAGAAACCTGCCTCATTCTTCCTGACCCAGTACTTGATAGTAGCGATGCGCTTTAATTTGAATAACCATTCACGCAGAAATGGGTGCATTAGTTTCTTGCTTTTAACAATTTACCATAAAGTTGGTGGGCTTAAAACACAGAAATTTATTTTCTCACAGTTCTGGACAACCAGAATTCCAGAACCAAGTCATCAGCGGGGCCACAGTACCTCCAGAGGCTTTGGGAGGAATGCTTGCATTTGGCTTCGAGCTCCCGTTGGCTCCTGGTGTTTCTGGCTTCTAGATGCATCCCTCCAATCTCTGCTTCTTCCTTCTCATGCCATTTCCCCCACGTGTCCGTGTCATCTTCTCTTCCTCATAAGGACACTTTATACCTTGGATATCATAAAGACGTATCATGGTCCTTTCAAAAAGTTGGTTCTACCGATTTCTTGTAAGCACTAGCATTTAAGGTAATAACATGGCTGCCTCCGCCCGCATTCACAAGGTCTCCAGGTTTTCGTTATTGCAGATGCATTCTACTGAACACCTGCGTCACGAAAGCTTTCTCTGTTACTTGGGGTTATTTCCTTAGGAGAGAGTCACAGAAGTGGAGTTAACTGTGCAGAAGACTATAGGTACATTTTAGGGCTTTGGGTAAAAATGACCAGACTCATCTTCAGAAGGATGGTACTCTGGTGGTGGTTATGATTTTTAAAGGGTGCATCTGTTGTCTCCAGTTTTCTCTGGTGGAGAGAAATGAGGCGGGCCTGCCCAGGTGGGAAGGGTCAAGGTTGGGCTGTGGCCCCAGCGGCCTGCAGTGTGCCCTTCCCCAGCTGGAGCCCATGACTGCCGATCCCAGAAGGACCTGCCTGCGGGGCGTGGGGCCCGAGAGCTGCTGCAGCCACCTGGTGGCTGGGTGGCTGCCACCGAGCCCCTCCCCAGTGCCCCCCTTACAATGAGGGCCCTTACAGGCCCTCCCTCCTTTCTGGCGCAGATGTGGGGTTGCGGAGGGCCCGGGGCGCTGTGAGACACCCGTGCACGTCTTAGCTGGGGTCTAGAGCCCACGCGATGGAACAAGAGTGCCTTACAGGGGAAGTGCCCAGCTCCTGAACTTCCATGAACTTCCACAGGGAGTCAGAGTGGATACAAGAGACCACAGTGGAGCCACAGCGCGGATGCTGGCCAAGCAGTATGGACACATGAAGATCGTGGGGTTGATAGACGCTCACTCGCCTTCTCTGCCCAAGAACCTCTACCGGAGCCCAGGTACCTGCTCCTGTGCCGCTGGGGTCCTCTGCTGGGGCCCTGCTGCCAGCTCCCACCGGCCCCGCTGAGGTGTGGCTCCCATTCATCAGTCTTTTATTGCTTTTAGATTTGGGGTCACAGAAGATCTTTCCCTGTTTCCTGGTTGTACAAGAATTCGCCCATTTTCTTCTGGTACTTACATGGTTTCATTTTTTGTTTACATCTTTGATCCTTTGTACTTTATTGTCATGCGTGGCGTGAGGTGTGGTGTTCTCAGATGGCTTCCCCGTTGTCCTGGCTTCATTAAACTATTTAACAGTCCATCTTTGACCTAGTGATCTGAGAGGTTGTCTTTGTCATGTATTCCGAATTTCCATCTGTGCCCAGGTCTGTTTCTGGACTTGCTATTCTGTTCCCCGGGTCTGTCTGTCCACACACCAGACCCACACTGTTGACAGCTTGCAGAGGCTTTTTGTAGTACGTTGGACTGTCTGGTCGGCCAGTCCCCCTGCAGCTTTCCCTGTTCAGTGTTCCCTAGTATTGCTCGTGTATTTTTCTGTGTAAACTTGAACATCAACTTGTCTAGCTGCTTGGAAACCGTGTTATTGAGACTGGCAGATTTGTAAGCCAACTACCCCTTTATGCTTTTGAGTCATCCTCTGTAACAAGGGACGTCTTTTGTTCAGGTGTACTTTTGTGTCTACAGGAGAGTTTAAAATTTTTCCTCCTAGACATTGTGCATATAACTTTTTTTTCTTCCTAAGTGTCTTTCTTTGTTGCATGGAGTTTCACTGCCTTCACGTCCTCTGCCTATTGTCTGAGTGTGAAGGCTGTTGGCGTCTGCTTGCCAGTTTTATTTTATTTTATTTATTTTATTTATTTGACAGAGAGAGAGCGAGAGCAGGAGCACAAGCAGGGGGAGTGGGAGAGGGAGAAGCAGGCTTCCTGCGGAGCAGGGAGCCTGATGCGGGGCTCGATCCCAAGACTCTGGGATCATGACCTGAGCTGAAGGCAGACACTTAACTGACTGAGCCCCCCAGGCGCCTCTGCTTGCCAGTTTTATATTCTGCTGCTCTACTGAATTCTTTCATTGCTTGAATTTATTGATTTTCCAGGGTTTTCCATGTATGCTACCAGACAGGCTGCCCATAGAGATAGATTTACTGCTTCTCTCTGACTTGTGTACCTCTGATTTCTTTCATTTAGTTGCACTGGGTAATACTTCTCGTAAGGGGTTGAATGTGTTGGGGACAGTGGGCATGCACCTCATCCTAACCTTAGTGGAAATGCCACCTTAGGTGAGATGCTGGCTTTAAGGGTAAGGTGTACATGTCTTCTCTCATGTTAAGAAAGTATCTGGCATTTTCTGTATTCCTGACTGTTTTTTACAGGAATAAGTGTAGAATTTTGTCAAAGGCTTTTTCAGCATCTACGAAGAAAACTGTTAATTTTCTCTTTAGATCTACTAATAGAGTATATTAGTGAATTTCCTAATAATGAACCAACTTTATGTTGTTGGTATAAATCCGATGTGGTGTATTTTCTTAATGTGATGTTGGATTGTGTTTGCCAGTTTTTTATTTAGTGTTTCTGTATGGCTATTCATTTATAAATGATACTGGTCTTTGATTCTGTTTTATCGGGTGTAGACATCAGTGTATCTCAGAGAATTTGAGTCTTCCTTCCTTTTTTGTGCTCTGGACCAATTTATACAGCATGGATGCCCTGTGATTTTTGAAGGTTTGGCAGGATTCTGTGAAACCATCTGGACTTGGTCTTTCTTTGTGGTACGTTTTTCTGTTTCTTCCATAGAAACTGGTCTGCTTATGCTTTCTCATGTTTCATGGGGGCCAGGTATGGTAAACTGCATTTTCCTAGGAAATCCTTTCCTGCAGGATTTCAAACTTCAACTCACACAGAGGTCTGCAGAACCGTTTCTCTGTCTCCTTCTAAGAAGTTCCAGTGGTTATTTTCCTGTATCGTTTCAGTCTCGCCTGCCTCCCGACTCAATCCTCTCTCTCTCCCCTTTCTTGTTCAGTCTTTGGTGGTTTTCTCACTTTCCCGCAGTACTGCTTTTCCACTCAAATGTCTTCTGCCTTGAGCACCTCGTGACTGAGTCTTCATTTTAAAAAATTTGACCTTTATTTTGTTTTGTTTTGTTTTAGCGGTTTACAAGCTTCTCAGAGGTCATCACTTGCATTCTTTTTTTTTTTTTTAAGATTTTATTTATTTATTTGACAGAAAGAGACACAGCGAGAGAGGGAACACAAGCAGGGGGAGTGGGAGAGGGAGAAGCAGGCTCCCGGCCGAGCAGGGAGCCCAACGCAGGGCTCGATCCCAGGACCCCTGAGATCATGACCTGAGCCGAAGGCAGATGCTTAACAACTGAGCCACCCAGGCGTCCCCCTTCCTTTTTTTTTTTTTTTTTTTTTTAAAGATTCTGTTTTTAAGTCATCTCTGCGCGCAGCATGGGGCTTGGACTCACAACCCCAAGGTCAAGAGTTGCCTACTCCACTGACTGAGCCAGCCAGGTGCCCTGTTAACCTTTGTTTTCTACCTCTTTCCTGAGTTCCATTTTCCTTTCTCACCGTTGCAAGTGTGTGCCTGTGTCTTTCTGTTCTCAGTTTTGAATTTCTGAACCAGGATGCTTTCTCCACTCTCCACACTTGTTTAAGGATGTATCCGTGCAGAGTGTCGTGTTAGCTTTCTTCTACCTCTTTGGTGGTGGTGGTTCGGAGGGAGGGGCGTCTTTACTCGCTGCGGTGTTTTGCCCCCGGTTCCTGTGTCCTCCCTGGAGTAGCTGTGTGTGGAGAGGGCTGGAGCTTCTGGGCTCAGAGGCCTGGCTGGTGTGAGCATCCTGCTTCAGGACTCCCTCCCCAATGTCTCCAGGGGAGTCCTTGCTAGATGGTCCTTTTTTGGTTGTTTTTGTTTTTGGAGGGGGGGTGTATGTAGTGAGGCCAGGCCCTGTGTGTCCTTGCTATGTTTTTGTCTTGCCAGATCCTGGAGTTCCCCCACTTGCTTTCCTATTCACTGCTCAGTTTCCACAAGGTGTCTGCCAGGAGTGGGGCTGTTCTGCTCCGTCATGTCCCATGTGCATTTTTAAGTTGCTTCTCTGGGGCTGTGCTTTCCTCCGCCAGGACGATTTTTCTGCCACAGGATGGACTTTTTCTGGGAACACGGCACTTCTGTCCCCTTGTCTCTCTCCGGTGTGGCTTTCTTCTAGACCTGCTCGCTCTCTGTGGAGACTAGGTGTGCATGAGCAAGAAGTCTCTCTGCAAGAAGAGAAATGGACGTGGCTTCTCTCCATAGGAGCGAGGAACAGGGCTGTTGGGGTGCTCTCTGTTGTCCCACTTCTGGGGAAGGGGTGGGATTCATGTGGCTCTGTTGCCTTTGCTGACTTGTCAGGTTTGAGAGGATGTGCGGGGAGGTTCAGATTCACAGAGCTGCCTTTGCCTCGGTTACCCCTCTTCCCTTGTCCTTTTATTCTTTATGACTCCTCCATCTTCTGCCTGGGCGGGACCACAGTCTCCTCCTGGTGGCATAGATCCTGGACCGCATGGGAGCGAGCTGAGTGGGGAAAAGAGAAGGTGACCGGCCCGGGGTCACTGGTTTGGAACCTGCCTCAGTAACGCCCTCATTTGCAGGCAGGCACTGACCTGAGCTCTCCATTCACACCAGTCCACAGCCTGGCTCCCTTCCCGGGCCCGGGATCATTGGTGATGGACACCAGCTCTCAAGGGGGCAGTGGGATGAGGGGCTCCCTCAGCATCTGAGCCCCACTGTATCAGCCCGAGAATGAGGTCTTATCAGATGGGAGCCTTATACAAATATGGTCATGAATGTTGCCTTCTAGGTATGATGAAATAAGGAAAACTGTGAAAAGCTATAGGACGATAAGGGCTGTGATTGCGTCAAGCTCTTAAACTGTGACGGGTGGCATGGGGAGTGTTTCCCCAGACCCGGCACACACCTGGCACGTGCCCCTTGTTTCCCAAGACGTGCAGGTGGAGAATAGACAGTTGATAGAAGCTGTGACTGATACTGTGTATGTCTATGAAGAGACGGATCTTACTTACCATCTCAACTTGGAACAAAATTTATTTCTGGTTTTAAATATATATAATTGCTATAAAAAATTCTGGAACCCAAAGAGCGGAATAAGAATTAAGACCCCCATCATCACGAACTTTTTCAGTTGAGACTCATGCTTAGCAAGCTTGCTTTCTCCCCCAGATCTCCCCGTGGCCCCTCTGAGCAGTGGACTGGCCCATCATTTCTAGTGATGTCCTGGGAAACAGTTTTTTATCTCCTTAATGTGAGAAAACCAATTCCCACGTACTATGAGGGTTACTAAATTAGTCCATCACTGAACAAAATGTCTTAATTCTGGTGTTTGACCCATAGACAAATTTGAAGATCTAAGCTCTTCAGATGAATCCTGCCCTGTTCCCCAGAGACAGAGGCCCTGTCGGAAGAAGGGCCTCAGCATCCATGAGGGGCCTCGAGCCTTGGCCAGGATCACAGCCATCGGACTTGGAGGCAAGATGCAGCGGCCTTGCTGTGGTGAGTGCCCCCAAATCCTGCTGGCTCTTCGGCTGTGCATCCCCAACAGTTCTCGGCCTTCTGAAATGTGGGCCCTGGGGGGAGGCTGCAGCTCACAGACTCAGAATTGATTACAGGGATAGAAAGACATTGATCACTGGCTAGCTTCTGGATTCATCCTTTAATTTTCCTTTCCATGGGTTATGTTACAAATAGAATTTTCTCTCCAGCAGTGGAAATACAGCAAAGCTGGGATTTCATTTATCATGTGGTAGGTCAGCTAGTGCAGAGAAAATGTTGAAGTCTGGTCTCTGCCCACTTCACCAGCTGGAGGTGGATGTGTCTCTGGGCAGGCTGTTGCTCTCTTTTCTCAAAGTGCTAGATTGGAGAATTGTCGGATCATATACTTTGTGGGCTAGAAGTGAGTTTACTCTCCCACTGTCAACGCCTCATGGTGAAAGCAGGGGACGCTGACACTCTCGCTCTGGCCTGACCGAGTGCCCAGTCTTAAGTGTGAGTTACATCTTTGATGTCTGTCACCCATCGGTGGCCAGGCCAGTCCTGCTGGTCTAGCAAGGTGGGTGGATGGGCCCATCTCGGGAGCCAGTACCCCTGGACTTAGAAACCGACTTTCCCAGTCAGCGGAGACCATGCTTCGGTCAAGAATATATAAGTTACTCCATTGCCTCCCATGACCCTTGGAAGGAGTTTTAGTGCTGGATTGGGAGCTCCAGGCCCACCTTCTCCCATCAGCCACAGAGGGGTGGGCTGACTGGGCCAGTGGGGAAGCTGCCCCCAGCCGTGGTCAGGCTGCTGCTGGGTGAGAACAGCATGCTCCGGGGCATTTGGCTGGGTGGTTCTCTTGTGAGGAGTCCATGCTGCCTGTCCCACCTGAGGTATGGTGGGGGCACACACAGGAAGACGGGTCTTACCCAGGGTGGGGGGTGGTTATTAACTTGTGTTGCTGTACAACACATGTTTTTTGTTTTTTTAAAGATTTTATTTATTTGAGAGAGAGAGACTGAGAGAGAGAGAGCATGAGAGGGGGTAGGGTTGGGAGGGTCAGAGGGAGAAGCAGACTCCCCACTGAGCAGGGAGCCCGATACGGGACTCGATCCAGGGACTCCAGGATCATGACCTGAGCCGAAGGCAGTCGCTTAACCAACTGAGCCACCCAGGCGCCCCCAACACGTTTTTTAAAATGGAATTTGTTCGAGTTCCCAAAGTAATCTGGCCCAAACCCGTTTATACAGAAGTCTTTTTAGGCACCCACATAGGCAGAGAAACATTCACCAAAGAATGATGCCCATTGTCCCTTAGTTGTGCCATTTCATAATTTTGGTTTTCCTCTTACACCTTGTGATATTTAAATTCTCTATATGTGCGTATATTCTGTTTGCCAATGATGAAAAAACATTTTCTTGCAGGCAGATGCATTCAGAGGTTATGTAACTTGGTGTTACTGCTGTTAATCTTTAGCCCGGGGCCTCCCGCCTCCCTGCTCAGCCAGATCTGTTTAGCTGGGGCTGACTGACCCAAGGAGCAGCGCCCCCAGATGTGTGTGTTGAAAAGTCACAGGGAGCACGAAGGCTGGTGTGTGTGAGATTTCGTTCCCAGCTACGAGGACCACTTAGTGGTCTGGTTTTCCTTCGGCTCAGGAACCTGTGAACACAGCTGACCGTTTCCTGCTTTGTCCACTCGGCAAAGCGGCACATGGTGTGATGGAAGGGGCGCCAGTCCCCATCCGCATGCTCTTGCTGTGGGACACAGACTGGTCCCCACGCCCCTCGGAGTCTTTCCTCACCTGCACACCGCACAGTTGGAGCCGATGGGGTAACGGCCAGCTAGAGAACAGTTTTCTTTCTGCTTGCCTGAATCCTGGGCCTTCCCTCGTGCCCGGATTCCTCTGGGGTGGTTGAATTTGGAAGGAGGAACTCTGTCCCTTTTGTGCTCACGTGGGTGTATGTCCCCCATTCTGTCCACAGAGCAGGTGCCTCTGCCAGGCTACGTCACCTTCAACAGCAGTGATGAGAACCCGCTGGAAGGGAGGGACCTCTGCTACAGGGACGTCACCTCCCCGATCAATGAGCGGGATGTGGAGAGCAGCAGCGGCAGCAGTCGGGGTGCGTGTGGGGCCCCGTGCGTCACCCCTCTACCCACCCAGCGGGCGCACGGAACTGTGGCGGGTCCAGCCAGTGGAGAACGAGGGGGTGAAGGGTACCACAGGGTCTGGCTTTTGTGAGGACTAAGAACGTGGCTCGGAGACGGGGGAGGTGCAGGATCTGCGGGAGTCGTTCCTAACCAGGGAAGCTCCTTGACTGGCAAGGCCTCGGGGAAATGTCTGTTCTGTTACATGTACCATTTGTTCGGGAGCTGTTGACAGAGTGTCTGCGGGGCCAGGCACTGTTCTAGATCAATGCTTGGATTTATCAGTGAACAAAACGGGCAAAGCCCCTGTCCATGTGCTAGGGCAGGAGGGCTTGGGCCGGGCAGCAGAGAACAGTGAGCGGTTTCAGGAGTTGGATGCAGTGGGTGCGGGGCTCTGGGGAGGCCCTGCAAGGGACACCTGTGGTCAGCTGCCCTTGTCTTGACTGTTGTCAGAAGAGCACGCCTTCGGCGCCAACCTGGGGGTCGGGAGGTGCAGCAGCAGCAGCGAGGGCCTGACAAGAGCCCCGGGAGTCAGCAGTGAGGCCTCTCTGGAGAGCAACGAGGTGAAGCTTCTCCTTTCTTGATCTCCCACCTCCCTCCCCTTTCATGGTGCTGTGGGGGCTGCCTCCTCCGAGAGGGCAAGTCTGGTGACAAGGACTTCGTGCGTGTCAGACACACAGTGTCCTTGGCCGCCCTCTGTGAGCAGCGACCACCGTGCAAGTCACCAAGGAAGCCTCTATGTGGCCGGTGGGGCGGTTTCCCAGCTACGGTTTTGGGACAGAGGGTAGAGTGGATGCAGCTCCATTAGCTGTGAGCCCCGTAGTGTTAACTTCAAGCACGCTTCTTGCCACAGGATTCGGATCATGCCTGTAAAAGTTCGGTTCGCAAGCAAACTAAAAGTTATATGAAGACCAAGAATCGTTACAGCAACAGCGAGAGCCAGTGGCCTCCCAGCACCGGGCCTTCGGGGGCAGCCTCTTCCCCGGGATCGATGCCCCAGACCGAGAGGTCCCGCCATTCAGGACCTCAGGTAAGGCCATCTGTGAAGCCGGCAGGTAGACCTCTCGTGCTCCGTGAGGCCAGGCACCGTGGAGAGCAAAGTGTGGTGATGGTTTTCCCCCAAATGATCGGGGAAGCTAGTCAGGCTGAGGAGTCCTAAGGGCTCCAAGTGCCAGTTGTAGGGTTTCTGTTCCATCCCTTTCCATGGGCGGGATCTGTCTCTCCCCTTGGTTTCCATACTTTACTCAGCCTCCCTGAGCCTGGGGCGGAGAAAAACAGGACCAGTCTTAGGGAGCTGCTTTCAGAAGAAGTCCGTGACAAGATGCATATGAAGCAGAGAGAAAGTGGCGCTTAAGGAAATTTGCCATCTCTGCCCTCCTCATTGTGGGTCGCTCTGGCTCACCAGCTTCTTTTTTTTTTTTTTTTTAAGATTTTATTTATTTGCGAGAGAGAGAATGAGAGACAGAGAGCATGAGAGGGAGGAGGGTCAGAGGGAGAAGCAGACTCCCTGCTGAGCAGGGAACCTGATGTGGGACTTGATCCCGGGACTCCGGGACCATGACCTGAGCCGAAGGCAGTTGCTTAACCAACTGAGCCACCCAGGCGCCCGGCTCACCAGCTTCTTAGGGGTGATGGGTCCGGCACAGCAGATCAACTGTTTATTGACTTCTCCTGCCCTCTGTGGGCATAAGTAGTACAAAGATGAAAGAGAGAAGTACATTTTTGCCATTTATTAAAGTCACAGCTCTGCTATTCACTAAAAGCCTGCAGTTTTGCTGGCTTCTCCTTGTGGCCCCTCCAGAGAGCTCTCTCCAGGGCCTATGTTTCCAGGCTCAGTGAACAGCTACACCTTTCAACTCCTTAAATACATGTTCATGGGAGAGTGGGTGGTGGTGGTGCTGGGATCTTAGGCTGTTTCAGAAAGTAGGTTAAGGCAAATGGCAGAGTAACAACCTTTGAAAATTTGCTCCTCCATTAAAGGCAATAAACTGGCAGAAGTGGTCAGAATAATTTTTTTCAAAACTCTGTGAATCAAGCAAAAGCTTGGAGCAACCTGGAAATGTTCATTCAAGAGAAGTGGCTGAATCCCAAAACTGCAAGCTTTGTAGCACTTTAACTCGCTTTAGTCTCATCTGCATGCTCCAGTGCCAGGGTATCTGTGACAGCCAGTGCAGGGGCTCTTTCAATGCTTCATTCTCAAATAATTGGCATTATTGGATGCATCTGATGACTCCCTAGGAGGCCATGCTTACAAAACTGTATTTGACTTGACTGAGAGCTTGTCTACCCAGTATAACAAAAACCCTCTGCTTGGAGAATGTGTGTTGAAAATAATTAGAGTTATATGTTTTAACTTTGCAGCTGCCTGAGGTATTGGATAATAGTTGGGGCAAATAAGATTAACCACAAAAGCTGAAAAGGAAAAACTGGGGAATGCGATGTCCATAGGAGGTTTGTAAAGCTCTGACATATTCCTGGGAATCTGGGAAGCCACACACTTGCTTAAGGCTGTGTTGTGTGGATGGTCAGGAAAGACGTGAGAATACATCTGATGGCCTTGAGGTTCTAACAAGGAGGAAGTAAAGGCTGAGGTAGGACTGTCATCTGCCTGGCTGAATGTCGAAGATGTGCCCGAGCCAAGCCTACAGAGCTGTGCAGCAAAGAGGGGGAGACTGACTGGTCTCTGGTGTTTACGGAAATCTGTCCAGTCCTTAGCTGACCACTAAGCTAGCCGAGGAGAGACTTCTGTGGCCACATGTGAGAAAGAACACAGACTTTATCAAAAAGGCACTAAACGAATAACCTCTACAACAAGCAGCAGCAACAAGCTGTGGAGATGGAGGAGAATTCAATCTCCAGAGCCACCACATTAAGATGTCGAATTTGAGGGGTGCCTGGCTGGCTCATTTGGTGGAACATGTGACTCTTGATCTTGGGCTTGTAAGTTCAAGCCCCCTGTTGGGTGTACAGATTACTTAAAATCTTGGAAATGTCCAAATTTCAACAAAAAGACAAGATGTGCAAAGAAACAAGGAAGTATGGCTCACAGGCCATAAAAAGTCAACAGAAGCAGTGCCTGAGGACGGTCATGTGGGACTTACTGGACGAAGACTCTAGATCAGCTTTTTCAAATATGTCCAGTGAGCTCAAGAAAACCTATCTAGATAGAGAATATCAATAAAGTGATAGAAATAAAAACGAATCAAATAGAGATTCTGTAGGTGAAAAGTACAATGACTGAAATGAATGTTTCACGAGAGGGCTCCACAGCAGACTGGAGCATGCGGAAGGCCCCACAAACTTGATGTTGATCAATTGAGATTATCCCGTCTGAGAAGAGAATGAAGAATGAACTGAAACCCGTGAGACCCCATTAAGCAGCCAGCATACAGATAACTGGTGTTCCAGAAGGAGAGGTGGTAGAGAAGAGCACAAAAAAGTGTTTAAGAAATAGCCAAACCTTCCTACATTTGATCCAAGAAACTGTATGAACCCTAAGTAGGTTAAACTCGGGTCCACAGCTAGGCCTAAAGTAATGAAACTGTCCAAAAACAAAAGGCGAAGCTTGAAGGGAGCAAGAGAGAAGTGAGTCCTTTACACATAAGGAAACCTCCTAAGATTAACTGCCAATTTCCCATCAGAAACCATGGGACCTAGAGGACATTTGATGACCGTGTCAGAGTAATGAGAGGAGGAAAACAAAACTCCACCAAGAATGCTATATCCGAGCAAAAACTGTCCTTCCAAAGTGAAAGAAATTAAGACGGTCACGCGGTCGCAGGTAAACAGACTCCGAGTTTGTTGCTACCGGACCCGCCCTCCAAGAAGCACTAACACCGTCCAGGCTGAAGTGGAGACAGACGGGCTGAGGCCCTCCGGACCGTCTACTCTGCCTGAGGGCACAGAGAGGAGGGGGCTGGAGCCCTTGGCGCCAGCAGCACCGTCCCACTGGGGGGGTTCGGGGACTGGCGGCACCGAGGAATGCACGCCTGGCAGGAAGGGCCCTGCGTTGCCGCAGTGCCTCTGTAGGTCCCCACCCACCCTCTGACCCACTCTGGCTCGTCTGCCCTCCAGGACCTCGCCACGCTGCTAGAACAGATTGGGTGTCTCAAGTACCTGCAGGTGTTCGAGGAGCAGGACGTGGACCTCCGCATCTTCCTGACCCTCACTGAGAGCGACCTGAAGGAAATTGGCATCACGTGAGTGCAGAGGGGCCCTTGGTTTCCGCCGAGCCTGAAGGGGCCAGCTTAGCTTGCAACGTCCCAAGGCTGCGGTGGAACAAGCCGCCCTGTCCGGAAGTCCGTTCGCTCCCTGCAGCCAGCTGGCCTCTCCAGCCCCCCAAGCTGGCCCGGCTGTCTACTTGAGAGCTTCCCAAGGTGGTGGGAGGCCATTCACAGCCTGGCCCTAGCTGGCCTGGCCTCCCTGTTGAGTGAAAACAGCAGCAACCAGGCAGGGGAGGCAACCAGGCAGGGGAGGCCAGCCCCAACTGGGTCACTGCTTGGAACCCTTTGTTTCTGTCATCTGTCCCAGGATCCTGGGGGCCACTCTCCCCCTTCCAAGCTGGGACCTTGCCTAGGGGACCATCTTGGTGGAAGGACGGTCCGTGGCACCTCTGCACACCCCGCCCATCTGTGTACTTCTCTCAAATTCACCCCTGCAGGCTGTTTGGGCCGAAGAGGAAGATGACCTCGGCCATTGCTCGATGGCACAGTGGCGCCCGTCCCCCCAGCGATGCCCTGGAGCTGGCCTATGCTGACCGGCTCGAAGCCGAGATGCAGGAGCTTGCCATCCAGCTGCACAAAGTAGGTGGGGAGCAGGGGAGGGGCCGTGCGAGAGGGGCGTGGAGACACGGCTGCAGCGAAGGACGCAGAGAGGAGAGCGAGCAGTGGGGACAAGTACCCAGGGTCAGCAGGGGAAGCAGCCGGGACAGGCGATGGGACAGCAAGGGCAGAAAGCGGTACTGTTCCTGTGCCCAAGGGGAGATGCACGGGCAGGAGCGCGGGCGGACCCAGAAGATAAAGGGGGAGGGCGGAGAACCAGCAGCCAGCACGGACACCACCGCGCTTGGGCAGAGGCGGCTCCATCTGGAGATGGGCGTCCCCATCCTCCAGCCCAGGGGACGGCAGAGAGAGCCGGGGTCGGGGTCAGCCAGCCTTGCACGCCCCCAGCTCACTTAGGCACGCGGGCTCCTGCGTCTCGCACGGCAGCGCTGTGAGGAGGTGGAGGCCATGCGAGGCCAGGTGTCGCAGGAGCAGGGGCTGCGCGCCGTGCTGGAGAGCTGCCTCCTGGAGCAGGATGGCGCCCAGAAGGACATGCACGCCCAGCTGCAGGAGACCTGGGCCCTCGCCCGGGATGCCGCTCTCATCCTGGACCAGCTGCGGTGAGTGGGCATCTGAGCTGCCCCCAGGCCCAGGCCCGACCCTGAATCACCGATGCCTCCAGATTCTTCCACCAAGGGCTTGTTGGTAGGGCCTCTTGGGGTCACTCACTGTCGTCCTCCATTTTGTTCCAGCTCTGTCTGCAGAGCAGACCCAGGCAGCAAACAGGGCCCCGAGAATCTGCACGCTACATGCAGCTCGTCCTCTGCCTGGGTCTCGGGCCTTGAGAGCTTGCCATGAAGGCGGAGCCCCACCTGCCACTCAAGGAGGTGCGGGTGTCTGCCGCCCCCGCGGGGGCCAGGGAAGGCACTCTTGCCAGGCCTCTCCCTCACCAGCACTTGGCCTTGTGTCTGGCAGAGCCTGTCAAGCCGAGCTGTCAGCCAGAGTGAAGCAGGAGGTGTCCATCCAAGGGTCCCCCCTGGGCACAGCCCTCCCCACAGCTGGTAAGAACAGTGTACTGGCTCAGGATTGCATAGACGCTGCCCTGGGCCCCGTGTTAGCACCTGTTCTGGCACTTATCATACTGACACTCCATCCCTCCTCTACACCATCCCAGGCTCCAGAGTGAGGGTGCCCTGTCACCCCCATTTCCTCCCCATGATGGGAGGCAAAAGCCCTTGGGCCCTGGCCAACTGTGCTGTCCAGGATCTGCAGTGACTTCTGCAGCCTACAGCTGGGGCTACCCCAGGGCAAGACCTCCCTGTAAGCCAGGGACCCTCACACTTTCATTCCTGGGGCCGGACCCTGACAGGGCTTTAAAGAAACAGGTGGGAGAACGTATTTTGGTATAACAAGGAGGTCACGCAGGAACCAACAGCTGGGTGGGTCCCCTGGTCGCAGCAGCTCAGGACAAAGCGGGCAGGACCTGTGGTGACCACACAGGCCCCAGGCCCACCTGGTTCTCTGTCCACAGACTCCAACGGCTGGCCAGCCTCCCTGCAGGCCCTGAGCCTCCCTGAGCTGTCAGGAGTATTGGAGGATCGAGTCCAGGAAATGGGTGAGTCTCCAGGAGGGCAGCCAGTGGCCTCACCCCCAGCAGGGGCCGAAAGTGGGTGAACAGGGAGAGCCCCGCCTGGTCAGCCCTGACCCCTGGGTCAGCCCTGCCCTAGCCTACTATCCCCCATGGCCACGCAGTCCTAGGCACCACCCCCCACCCCCGGCCTTCTCACACTTGCAAAGCAGTAACTAACTGCTCCCGTCCTCAGGGCGAGTGCTATGCTCAGTGACCCAGAGCTTGGAGAAGCTGCAAGTGCTGAACGGGAAGGAGAACTGGCGGGAGCCTTAGCTGGGAGGGACGGTGAGTGTCCGCCAGCCCAGGCCCCGGGCTGGGAGAGCAGGGCACCCTGGGCAGCAGTGAGCTCTCCCTTCAGTCTTCCCTTTCCCTTCTCAGAATCCGACGTTGGGTGACTGATCCACCCTGAAGCTGTGTGCCTGGAAGACAGGAGCGCGGACAGCGAGCGGCTGCAGCGGGCCGGAGGATCAGGCCCCCGAAGCAGCAAGCAGGATAGGGCTGGGGCGAGGAGGGAGGCCCACACCAAGGCAGGACGAGGGCCTCTAGGCCAGAAGCCCGGGGGTGAGGCCCAGAGCGGGCAGGGCCACGGGGAGAGAGCGGGTCCCCGTACACCGCAGGTGCCACACGGGAGAGGACTGGGCACTTGGGCAGCGTATGTCATTGGCTGGAAAATAAAATGTAAGCTCTGCTGGTGAGGGGCTCCATTCTGATCCCGCCACCTGCAGTGCTGGCTGACAAACCAAAGCCGGGCAAGGCAGGCCGAGACCACCGTGTGCAGAGCAGGGCAGACCGCCTGACCCCCTCCTGCTCTGCCATCCCCTGCATCGAGGGCTGCCTTTGCCCCGAGCCCCATCGAGTCTACAGAAGCAATCTGAAGAGTGATGCACACCCCCAAGCCCCAAGGAAGGAAGAGAGGAACAGGTACAGGTATTTTATTTACAGAAAGAAGTGCCTATGCCCCCACGTACTGGCCACTTCATCGAGGCTCTAAGGTGGAAGAGACGCTCAGGCTGGGCCGGAGCACAGCTTTCCTTACCAGGCCAAGCAGGTGCTGTGGAAACTTTGTTAGCTTCACTGAGAAGTCCTTCCGGACATAGGGCCAGTGGTGACCTTCCCGTCTGTGGTGGCTCGGCGGTTGTCATTCTGCACACTCGGCCCGTGCTTCCATACCATGTCCTGGAGCTGCCTGCAGCCTGTGCTGGGAATGCAGAAAGGGAGGCTCGCAAAGCAAAGAGCAGGGAGCTCAGCCCTGGAGCAGGTGTAGGGCCGAGAGAGGCCTGAAGCTGGCAGTCCCACAGCAACCACAGGGAGGCGGACGCCACCTCCCCCTGGGACAGGAGGCCCGTATCAGCTCCACGCTGAATGGACCCCAGCACTCTTGCGCCTGGCTCCCGCCCTTAAGTCCTTGGGTAGTGGGAGAAGCCCCCCCCACCCCCCCGGGTGCACTCAGCCCCAGGCCTATGGCTGGGACCAGAGAACACACAGAGCAGCCGAGAATGGACTTTCCTGTCCTTTCTCTTTCAACAACTCCAGCTCGGCCTCATGGCCCCACCTAACCTTAGGGACCAAGCCCCAATGGGGTAAAGGGGCTTCGAAGCCTCACTCCCAGTTCACACACCATAGGAAAAATTAAGTAAGACTAACCACCACCAAAAGTAACAGTACAACATTCTAAGCTGAGCCAGCTCTTCTCTCAGCCCTGGGGCTGGCTGGTGACAGGACTCAAGGCATGCTCCACAAGAATAAAGGGACTTCTCGATGGTCTGTGTGTTTACCTACTCACGTGGATGAATGGGGGATACCTCCACCAACCTGAGTCTCATGTGGAGTTTGCGCCTTGAGGTAGGAGAAAATGTCCTGAGCCTGGAAAGCCAGGCCATCTACTGACCAGGGTGGGCTCCCAGTAACCTGGCCACCACCCGGTAGCTGCCCAGGGCAGCAGAGAGGAGTTGTGAACACACACAGGAGGAGATACGTCTCCTAGGAGTTCAGGGCACAGAACCAGGGGAGGGCAAGAGACACGCCGCATAAACTCAACCTCAGGAGGAAGACGGGAGGAGCTTCTCCAGCGCTTTCTTCTGCTTCTCAGTGGCAGCGGCCAAAGCCTCAGCCAGTTTCTCCTCGGGCATCATGTTGAGCACCTTGAGAGCGAAGAGCAGCTGGTACTTGGCGGTGCTGGTAAAGGCGTTGCTCAGGAAGTTGGGAAAGCCACCAACTCGGTCCTTTTGGGTATAAAGTGGGACGCGCACAAGCCCCAGCACCTGCACAGAGAGGAGACCGGAGTGGGATCAGGCCCCCACACCAATGGTGCAGCCCTAGCAGGAGGAGCCTGTGAGCTGCTAGGCCAGGGGAAGGGCAGCCAGGTTGCGAAGGCTGTAATGCGAGACCCGGGCTGGGTCTGGTGAGGCGGAAGCCAGCCATACCCTTGGAGCAGTGCAGCCCCTCTACTCCCCAGGCAAGTTTCAAAGCTGACCCCATGCACCCATGACCACCCTTTGCACTCTCAAGTCCCAGCTCCCATCCGCTGGCACGAAGCCCCCAGTTCATACCCCATGCTCCCCCTTCCACGGGTGAATCCCAAATATCCCAAGTATGACTCCCCGCCCCTCCAGACTATAAAACCCACAGACCCTAAGAGCCTTCATCACCCCAACCGTGAGATCCAGCCCATGAACCAGCCCTAGCTTCCCACCTCCCCAGAAGGCACCACCCCATCCCATCCTCCCACCGATCCCACTCCCCGCTCCCAGGATTGGCAATGGCAGGCAGCAAGGCAGATGGAACACAGCCCCGAGGGAACCCCAGCCCCGGGCCCCTCGCTCCCACACCTGCCCCCAGTTCCCTCTCCCCACCCCGATGCTGGAGACAGCGACACCCCACCCAGCCCGGCCAGGGGACCCTCAGGGGGACGTGTTACCCATCGGTGCCTTCCACGGAGCCAGAGCCAAACCCCGGGGCGGGGGGCGGGGCCCGGGCGGCGGCCCCACCTCCAGGCCGTGGTCGCGCGAATGCACCGCGCTGATCTCCACAGCGTGCAGCTGCTCCAGCGTCAGCTGCCGTGCGTACAGGTGCGCCACGACGCGGTGCGGGCCCTCGGTCAGGTGCGAGCTCAGATAGTCGGCCTCCGTGAGGCGCAGGCAGCCTAGGCCCAGGCCCAGCACCCGGTTCAGACCGTCCTCCAGAGACCAAAAGCGCCGGTCCACGAAGCCCCCGGGAAAACCCAGCAGCCCGTCGAAGCGCATCTGCATCTGCAAGGGAGGGCCGGGTCACGGGCGCGGGGTGCGAGCGGCGTCCCGTCCCCCGCCCGCCCACCCGCGTCCTCACCAGCACCGAGAAGCGCATGGGGATGCGGCCGAAAAGCTGCCCGGGGTTGGCGGCGTACAGCATGGCGTGGCACGAATGGCTCCAGCCCGGCCCCAGGCGCATAGCCTCCACCCGGCTGATCTGCTTCAGCTCCGGCACCGCCGCCGACATCTTGACACTGCCCCGCCGCGGCCGGGGCACCGCTGCTTAAGTGCATGCGCGGGCCCGCCCCCGTCGGGCCTGGCCAATCTGAAGGCGGGCCGCCCTTAGGCCCGCCCCTCCACCAATTGCCGACGCCCATCGGGGCCGAGCCCTTCGCGGCGCTCCGTCGCGTCGTTGAGGCGCAGAAGGGGCGTGTGCAAAAGGAGGGGGCTGCGCGCGCCCCCGCCCACGGCCCTCGAGAACCACGACGCCCCGGAGGCACGGCGCCCGCACCGAGCTCTCTCGAGACGAGCGGGGCCTCGGGCGGGCGCTGCTTCCGGGCTGGGGCTCCGACTGCCCACAACGAGTCCTATGCCTTCCCCCAACGCCTCCCTGGGAGCGACGCCCCACAGGCTTCACACTACCAGCCCCGGCCTCGCTCCCCGGCCGGCGCCTCCCAGAGGAGGGCTGCGCGGAGCCCCAAGACCAGAGGTTACGACCCTTCCCTGCACGCGCGCCAGCCAAGCACTCCCATCCAAGGTCACTGCCGGTCAGCGCGACTCCAGAAGAGCAAGGAAAGCAGGGCCCGGCAGAGCTCCGGCTGCCCCCACAGTCCACGCACAGCCCCTGGGGCTCCTAGACCCAGCCTGCTGGGGGAGGAAGTACCTTAAATCCGAGCCCAGCATCCCAAGTGTCCTCCCAGTCAGACACCATATGCCAGGTTCGGGTGGAGGAAATGGGGTCTCCCCCATTTACCAAGGAGAAACTTGGGACACAGAGGAACAGGACTTGCCTTAAGGGCACCCAGCAGTTGGTGCCAGAGCCAGGATCCCACCCTGTCTCCTCCCGTGTCCACAACAGAAAACCTCCTAACTTTCACAGAGAGGGCCTGAAGTACTTACCCCGCGTCTGCTGGAGAAGGAAGTCGCTGGGGCTCGGGAACACGGGAAGCAGTGTCCAAGAGGGAGCACTGGGGCTCCTTGGAATCCTGCAATGGGGCCACTCACTCCACTGGTTGACCCAAACTCCATTCTCCTCCCACAGTGGGCACGGATTTAATGAGCAAAGGAACCGCCACCTGCACTCACAGGATGGGCGCCCCAGCCACAGCCTCGGAGAACCGCGTGCAGTGAACGAGGGCAAGCGCTGTGGCGAAGGCTGCCCTCAGCAGGGCTGAGGAGAGGAGAGCAGGGGCAGAGGGCTGGCAAGGGGTTGGTAGGACCCACTATACACTCGTTCACACAGTGAGTCCGTGCCAGTACTCTCAAATGGGGAATAAGGATCCAAAGAGGCAGGCTCTGTCCCCAGCCATGGCCTCTCCCGGGGGTCAGGACTCAGAAGGGGCAACCACAACTGGCAGGGAGAAGCCAGATTCCAGGGCAAGTAACCGTGTCTGAAGAGAGGTCAGCGAGGGGAAGGGCCCATCCCAAGACAGACGACATCTCCAGGCCACAGGTGGCTACGTCTCCATGACCCAAACCCAGGGCTGGGGGAAGGGGGGAGGAAGCGGGCACAGAGGAAAGGTACCCCACGCCCCCAACCCCTCCCTGACACAAGATGTTAACACAATTCCTGGTCCATTGGCAAAAGTGTGGAGGGAGATCCAGCGCATCCCATGCAAGAACTCGTCTGACACGGGAACACCTTTCTACCCACCCTGGGACCATGCCAGACCCAAACATGACAGCCGCTGCAGGGCTGAGGATGGCAGGCCTGACACGGGGCATGGACTAGCTAGCTGAGAACACTGATCTCACCAGTAAGCACCTGAGTCAGAGGGGACCTGAGGAGGCAGCGTGGGGCCAGTGCTGCCTGGGAGCTCTGGGGCGCTAGAGCCTTTCCCTACTGGGAGGCCACCCGCTGGGCAGGGAAGCCAGCAACCAAACCTGGCCCTCTAATCCATTCCCCACGACAGCTGTGGAGAGTTGCTGCCCTGTGTAAAAACCTCTGTTCTCAGAATAAAACTGTCCCTACAAGGTCCTGAGGCATCTGCACCCCACCAACACCCCTCGATTCTGATGCTCCAGCAACCAGAGCCACGAGGGCTTCTTTCTGCTCAGGGGTCATACCAGACTCACTCTGGCCCCAGGGCCTTTGTCGGCACCGGGAGGGCTCAGCTGAAACTCCCCTCAGAGAGGCCCTCCTCCGCCACAGGTTAAATCAAGTACTCCATGGAGCTCCACCTGGTCACCAGCTGACTCTTCCAACAGTCAACCAACCTGGGAAGATTCGGATTACTTGCACAGTGTCCCAGTGCCTAGAACACAAACTCCCCGGGCCGGGGCCATGCAGGTCTGGACCCCCTCCAGCCCCAGCACGGTAGGTGCTCAGTAAGTATCTGAGGGACGGATCGGCAGTGAAGACGGGGATTGCTCCACCGCTCAAAAGACGAGCCCCGTCCCCAGAGTCCGCTTCACTCCAACCCAGAATCAGCACAATGACGGCCACGGTTGTAATAAACAGCAGCTCGCGCACCTTACGTACCACCTCATGCGCTCTCGCCCTCTTGGAAGTCACGTGCCACTAACAACTCGTGCACACAGACGTGCTCACGCTGCGGTGGCGGCGGCCAGAGCTGCCTGGAGCCACTCCGCCGTCCTGCCTCCAGACCAAGAAGAAGCTGAGGTCCCTCGGTGCAATGCGCAGAGGAAGGAGCGGACAAGATATTGCTGCATGATTTTATTACTATAAATATACAGTAAAAATGAACAGAAACTAGCCAATCAGAGTACATCAAATGATAGCACATGTAAGTCCAAGACAGGCCAGTCTGCATCCCGGCCTTCAAACAGAGCACTGGCACCAATACCAACGGGCGACAGGCCGGGGGTTGGCAGGTCGGGAGCAGGAAGGGGAGGGAGGGAGGGAGGCAGCCAGGCTGTGTGCGCACGTGCCTGCACTTCTCTGTGTGCGCGCTGGCATTCGCGCGGGCTTGAGCACACAGTGGGCAGCAGGGGAGGGCCGGGGAGGGCCAGGGAGGGCAGGGAGTCAAGTGGCTGGGAAAAGCTGGCCGAGAGCTGTGTCTAGGGCAGCGCTCTGCTCACAGGCTCAACTGGAAAGAAGACGAGTCCTCTACCGCTGGATTCTCTCCTGAGCACCCTGTGGGGCGAGCCACAGGGAGGGTGCTGGGGCGGGGGCCAGGGCTTTGCACACACAGGCCGGCTGGGCCACAGGGCTCTGTGGACTGCTGCCGGCTGCCCCAGAACCGTCCTTCCCAGGACAGCTCCTCAGGAAGTGGGCCGCGCTGCACCCCCCACCCCAGACCAGGACAGTGTTCCCACCTCAGAGAGCTGCACAGACCCAACCACCCAGCTCAAGGTCCCTGCTGGGCAGCTGTCACCCTGGGCCACCGGGGCTGGATGCCCCCTTTGCCTTGCTGTTGACCAGAAAGTTTTGCTTTAAAAAAAAAAAAAAAAAAAGATGAGGTCACCTTAGACGGGATCTGCCATGTGCGTCCCCCAGGCAGGTCCACTACAGGGACCCCAGACAGGACAAGTCAAAGAGAAACCAAGGGACACTTCAGTGGCCAAGAGGGAGCAGGGAAGCTGCTCAGATCCCTCCCTGGGGCAAGTGGGCAGCAGCTAGCCCAGCGGAAGCCCCTGCTCCTGCAGGGACCTGCCATGTGAGCAAAGCCACTTCAGAGAAGGCGCAGGGTCGAGAGAGGGACCACCGGTCTCTGTCTGCTGCCTCTGCCCCCGGGGGTAGACCCAGCCCCCAGCCCCCAGGGGGAGGGGGGAGCTGTGGGAGGCAGCCCGCCGCCCCCCACCCCCCCCCAGCCACCGGCCTGGACCAGGAAGGAGAAGCAGCAGCAGAGGGCGTGAGCAGCAAGAGCTGGGCTGCCAAGGACACAGGCGCACGTGGGGCAGGGGACAGGCACTGTTTCCTTCATTGACCATGACTCAGACCCACTTCCTTTCCTCCTCAGCCAACAAGGTCCCTATAATATCTCCTATGAAGATACCACCTCACCCACCAACACACTTTTCTTCGGAGAATTTGTGAGTTCTTGGGATGTCAAGTCCCCAGTAGCTAGGATGCTGCGAGAAGCTGGTCCAGGCTGCACGTGGGTGGTCAGGCCCCAGTCCCAGCCATTTAGCCAATGGGGCGTTTGGGGGAAACCCCAGAGCTCAGAGCCCAGAACAGAAAGCTGCCGTCCTTCATCTTGTACCATTTACAAATACATCAACTGTAGAAAAAGGAATTTGTCAGGGGACACAGTCCACTGTGCTCTTCAATCAAGGGTCGTGTGGCCCCTCAGAACCAGTGGCCACGCAGAGCGTGCAAGACAGGAGAGGCCAGGGGTCACGCTGGAATCCGGTGGCCCCTCGGCAAAGTCTGGGGAGCTAAGGGCTCCATGCTGCCAGCCTGGCCAGGCTCTCAGAGTGGGGTCAGCTCAGTGGCCCCAGGGTCAGGACTGGGGCCACTGAGCACAGGCCAGGGCGGGCCAGTGGTACGGAGGCTGTGGGGCGTCTCCATGGAGGTGGACCATCCTGCAGGCAGGAGCAGAGGGCGAAGCGGTCATGCGTGGCCGAGTCACCCACCTCACCCATCGGGCTCAGTTTCCACCAACCATGAGCCTCCCGCAGAGGGCAGGGCCACCCAGAGACCTGAAACTCCAGCCCCAGGAGAGTAAGCAGGGGCCTGTCTCTCTTAGAGCACATCCCAGGCAACAGCACCAGCTGATGCCCCAGAACAGAATGCAACGGGACGCCGTGGGCTCCCTCCTCCTGGGGTCTCCTCGCTCACCTCCTCCCTCGCCCAGGCCCCGCTTCCTGGGATCTGACCAGCCGCTGCCCTTCGCTACTGAATTACACCAGGACTCAGTCAAGCCCAGGCAGAGGGGGAGTGGACTTGGACCTGGGGGCATCTCTGTGCTCAGAGCAGCCCCTGGAGTCCTGCCCTGCCTTCTTCAGGGGCCTCTTCCGCCGTGATCACACTGTTGCCTCCCGATGCCATGAGGCGCTCTGTCCCTGGACCGACTGAGCCCCCCAGGGGCCGGGGCTGGAGCTGTGACCCAGGCCTGCAGCAGCCAGTGACCAGCAGGACTGGCAGAGCCGCAGAGGCACTGGACACGGGCTCCACCGGACAGCCTTCAAATCACAAACCAAGGAGTGCGTCTGCCCCGTCACCCATGACACAGTCCCTGAGGTGGAAGAACTGATTTCTTAGGATCTGTGGCTTCGCGCGGGGCATCAGCTCTGCTATGCAGCCCGCAGGCAAAATACAGCTCCCTGGAGCTCAGCCTGACCCCTGTGCATTTTCTACTTCTGGAGGTTTTAGATCACAGCACTCAACATCCACTGACATGGAGACCAGGGCCGACTTTATAAAAGTGTTGGGCCCTACTTCAACAGAGGGAAAGATTCATTAGAAGAAACATTCAAGAAGAACAAGAAAGGTTTGTGCAAGGACATAAAGGCAGCTGTCAAAATGAGTGGACAGACCCGGAAGCTGAGGACAGCTGGCCAGGAGGAAGGCCGCACACCAGCCTGGGGCACATGTCCCCGCGGGGGCTGCCGGGCCCTCGCTGCAGGATGGGCCAGGAGTGCTGCTGGAGTGCTCCACCCCACACGCATCTGCGAAAGGTCGGGCCACCAAAGGCACCGGGTTCTCCCACCACCAGACTTCCCAGAGCTGCTACCGTCATGTGAAGAAGGGGAAGAAGGTCCTAATCGCATTCGCTTGTTTGCGTGGTGGCACTCTTGGAACGACCTTCCATAAACAATCGTTTGGCAAGGTCACACAGGTAGAAGGCATCTCCCAATCAGGATGGAGGTCAACCGCACATGGCCTCCTAATGGACTGATTTCAGCCTGTGCTGGTGTTCCGAAAGTTCCATACATAGCTGGGGGACAGGTTAGTCAGCAGCAACAAGGGGATCTCAGCAAGGGCTAAGTCACCATTCCTGGGGCCCTAAAGGCTAAAAAAGCCTGGCTGGGCCACCTAGTCCACACAGAAAATGCTCTGGCTCCGAAAGTAGGCCAATGTCAGACCCCCTGGGACCACCTCTTAGGGGCAAAGGTGTAGCACGTTTGTAGAGCTCTGGATTCAGAATCCAGGACCCCCGGGAAGACATGGATGTGGAGAAGGCCAGAAAAGGGCAAGGAACCCCCAGGGAAGAAGCAGGAGAGGGAGAGGCAGCTGGGGAGGTCCTCAGTCCGGCACTGTCAAGGATGCCCCTCAGAGCCACCCCACAACACGGATGAAGGCGATCACGTACCAGCTTACTCCTCTATACCAACAGAGCAGGAGTCAGGCCCCAGGGCTGTGCAGAGGAGGAGAGAGATGGAAGCTCAGTTAGCAAAGCACTCAGACAGACCAGCACATTCCGCAGCAAATGCACTGCTTTAGGACAAGATTCCCCGGGGGGGGGGGGGGGGGGGGGGAGCGGACGAAACGCCCACACAGACTCGTGCTAAAACAAAGGAGAACAAAGCACTGGGCCACAGTCCAACGCAGAGGCACTCAGCCCAGGGAAGCACGCACAGGGCAGGGGCAGGGGCCGGGCGGGGCTCACCTCGAGGAAGGCGCCCACCTCGAGGAAGGCAGTGCCCTGGGGGCCCCCACCCTACAGGGCTGCCCGCGTCTAGCTTTCCGACATGGATTTGCCCGGCCTCCTTATCATCCCCCTATCAACACTATGCACACGAAGCTTCACTACATTGTGCCGTCCCTCTAGGGGACAGCTGTGCAGCTTCTGTAAAGAACGAAGACACCCGTGGGCACGTCCCCGTTCTTGAATACAGCCCGATGTGAAAGATGTTTAGCATCTCGGCTAAGCGAGAGCCAGCAGCAGGACAGAAGGTGCCGGCTCGGGAATAAAGGAAGACAGGTACATATATGCTTATAAAGGTGTGCACGTCTGTGAGGACCCCTGCCCGGCCCCCACGTGGGGGGCAGCTGCTCAGGGCACAGCGTGCAGCGTGCACACCCCGGTGGGGCGCGGGCCCCAGAGCCGCAGCACCGCCCCACCCCCCTTGCTGGCTCCTCACGCTCCGGGGCTGGATTCGGGCTTCTGATGCCCCAAACATGGATTTCAGCCTCTCCTTTACCACCTCCACAGCCAACTTGCCCCCCGCCCCATCTGTGGAGTTGAAGCAGGCCATGTCACCGGCCTGGGGTTGGGGGGTGAGAGAGCCACAGAGCCTGCTGTCACCTGTCCTGACCTGCAGACATCGCGGGGCAGGTGGCCGGCACTGCTGGGTGGGGTCAAGGTGTCCCTTCACCCACAGGATCACAACTCTCACTCATGCTTCTAGGAAGTCCCTCTCCGGGCTCTCCCCATCCCCCCAAGCTTGTAATTATAAGGAAATCCTTGAAGTTCCCTGAAAGAACTTACTGGAATTCTGTGTTACTCTATGGAACGCTGGTCCTAAACATGGCTTTCACCCATGGTTTCTCTTTGGGTAGGCGCATGAGTACCGACGGCACTTACTACCCTGCCCTTCCTACCCCTGGTGACCGTGCCACTCTCTGGGCTAACTGGACCCTCTGTCTGCACAGGCCACTGCTTGTCCAGATGCTGGTGCGGGCGGGACAAGACACCTCCAAACCAAAGCACATCGCAGCCAGGCCCGATGCACAGGTCGGGTCACCGAGAACTGGGGCAGGCGGGGGGCAAAGGTGCTTCCTAGCCATGTGGCAGGAGCCAGACTTTGAGGGCATCGTGGCTATTTGATTTTGGACCCTCAGATGGTATCTTAGCAGGCAGCAGGCACCAGTCTCTGAGAGCCCCCAACTCCTGTCCCCCATCTTTGGAGCCCGGAACTTAAAGCTGAGGATCTTGACCCAGAGGAGCAGAGAGCAGAGGAGTTGGGGGCAAGGGGCAGAGGCCTTTGGAAAAGGGGGGCAGAGAAGCAAGACCCCTCCCCCACTGCCCTTGGGGCTTGCAGGTGCCCGGCACCCCACCTGTCCACCCAGCCCTGGCCTGTGATGCACCACTTCACCTGGGCCCTGTGAGCGCTTGTCAGCCCCTCAGGCAGGTGGCAGAGGACTGGTGGCCAGCGTCAGGCCTGGGGCACGCAGGTGGCTTTCTGTGTGTCGCTCCCTGGGGCAGAGGCCCTGCTGTTGGGGCACCTGAACAGGGCCTGCTGGGCCCACGGGTGAAGTAGGTGTGGGAGATTCCAGTGGGGCTAGAGCTGCCTATTGGGCTCCGAGCAGAAGATGGATGGAAAGAAGGACCATGTCCTTGAACAAGAAGCCCTTCCTGCCTTCCAGATCCTGAGCTGGCTCCGGGTGTGAAGGGGCCTGACGCACAGGCCCTGCACCAGAGAGCAAGGGGCTGCAAGGGGGTGACTGTGGAGCCAGGGCCGGGCTGTGCTTTGGGGTCAAAAGAAGGAGTGTGAGTAGAGCCAGGGAGAGAGACCTGGGCTCCTGACAGGCCAGCCGCTCCCCGAGGAGTCAGACCAGATCCCCAGCTCCACAGGGACAGTCAGCGCAAGTTCCATGCGGACGGTGACAGTATACCACCCCCCCACACACACTGCCGAATGCTGTTACCTGGCAGGTAGATATCGGCTGGCAGGCGGGGCTGGCCATGGCTGCAGGGCTCAGGGCTGCCATCCTGCAGGACATTCTCGATGGACGGCACTCGGCTCCCTGCAGAGGAAGGGGCAGGTCAGAGGCCCAGAGGCGGAAGGTGGCCACTGTTCCTCTGGTCAGGACCCCCAGGAGCCTGTCTTTCCTCCCTGAGGGCTCTGCAGCCATTTCTGCGGCCCAGACCCCACCCTGACTCCCTCCTCCACCCTCTAGGCCTGAGAGGCCGATGTTTGCTTTTCTTTACTACCCTTCTCACCCCACCCCAGCCTGGGGCTTTTGTTTCTCATCAGAGAAACAGTACATACTCCTGTTCACAAAAACAAGAAGGTAACAGATTTGTCTCCTGCTTCTCCTTCCAGCTGGGCCACACAGTGGGGAGCTAGCAAGGCCCGTGTGGACGCCGCCTCTCGCACAGGTCCCACTGCTGCCCAGAGTGTCCTCAGGGGGAGGTCCCTCTGGCAGAAGGGAGACCCGGGCCCTGGGACGGGCACAGTGGAGAGCCACCTGGTCTGGGCACACGCTCTGCCCAGGAAGGAAGGGATGTCGGGAGAGGGTCAGGCCCATCCTGAGGTCCAGGCCCATCCAGGCCTAAGAGGCAGGAAGTGAAGACACCCAGACTGGGCACCCTGCCCTGGGCGCCAACACTCACACCCAGACCCAAGGCCCCAGGCCCAGCAACCTGCAGGCGGACCCCACATGCTGAGGGCAGAGAGGCCCACAACCACTGGGAGGTCAATGCCTGTTAGTGGCAGCTGGGACTCAAGCCCCAGCAGGCTGAGCTATGCTAAACTCTCCACTCCAGAGAGCTGCAAGGCTCGCTCCGCGGACACAGGGACACGCAGAGGAGGGCCCTGGCTGAGCTGTGCACCTGCACCCGGTGGTCCAGCCTACGGCCTCAAGAGGGACCCTGGGTCCCTCCAGGCGGTGGCTGGGCAGCCCGTACAGGACACACATGAACAGCTGGCCCCGTGCAGAAAACCGGGAGCGGCCGAGGCTGTGCTCTGGGAGACGGTGCAGTAAGGAGCAGAGCTGGCACTCGCTCTGCCAAACCCCTGCAAGAGCGGCCCGGGAGTCCTCCGACAGCGAGGCCGGGGACACACTCCTCAAGTGGAGGGCTTACCTTGCTTCAGTGCCGACGCCTCGTCCGCCTCCTCCATTACGAAGCTCTAGGAAACAAGGACAAAGTGTGCCCGCAGCTCCGGAGCCGCGAGTGGGGAGCAGGCTGTGCGCGGCCGGGGGAGGGGGCGTGGGGCGAGCTGCGGCCGCCACTCCGGGACTTCCCGCACAGCCCCCGTCCCGGAAACAGGACACACCCCACAGATGAGGGAACCAGCTGAGGGTGCCATGTGAGCAAGTGCTGCAGGGGGGCCCGGGCACACCTCGCCCCCGGTCTGGAGGCCGCCCACAGGCAGTGGGGACAGGGTGACAGAAGGGCCTCACCTCGGGGGAGCTGCTGAGCGCCAGCCCCGCCCCACTCAGCGGGGGAGGGGCGTCCGAGGCCTGGGACAGCTTCTCCTCATCCTCTTCGTGGATGGGGGACGACGGAGACCGCAGGGTGCTGGGGACAGAGAAGATGGGAGTGGAGGACGTGTCGATGATAAACACCAACCCACCAAAGCCAACGCCACCCGTGGGTGAGACGGCACAGCCGGCAGAGCGCCCGGGGGAGGCGTGTGCGCCCACAGAGCGCCCACCAGCAGGCCCGGCGGCCGGATGGACTCGGAGGCATGGGCCTGACCCTAGCTCTGTGTTTCCAGGAGGAGGAGAGCATCACAACAGTAAACCACTGGAGTGGGGGGCGGGGGCAGCAGGGGAGACCCCCATGCTTCTTCTTTTTTTTTTTTAATTTTTTTTTTTTTTTAAGATTTTGTTTATTTATTTTGAGAGAGAGAATGAGATAGAGCATGAGAGGGGGAGGGTCAGAGGGCGAAGCAGGCTCCCTGCTGAGCAGGGAGCCAGATGCGGGACTCCATCCCGGGACTCCAGGATCATGACCTGAGCCGAAGGCAGTGGCCCAACCAACTGAGCCACCCAGGCGCCCCGACCCCCATGCTTCTTTCTGGATCTGGAGTGACCCGGCCACGTGTGCAAGTCCCCGGGGCCGTGGCTGGTTTTACACAGCTTCCAACTTTACTTAAGAAAATAGCACAGGTGATGGAACCAGAGGGTATTATGCTGAGCGAAATAAGTCAGCCAGAGAAAGACAATTATCGTCTGATCTCACTTCCGTGTGGAATTTAAAAAACAAAACAGAGGATCACAGGGGAAGGGAGGGAAAAATAAGATAAAATCAGAGAGGGAGACAAACCGTAAGAGACTCTTAATCACAGGGAACAAACCGAGGGCTGCTGGGGGGGAGGGGGTGGGGGTGGAGTAACTGGGTGACGGGCATGAAGGAGGGCCCGTGATGCAACGAGCGCATCACGTGTTGTATGCAACTGATGAATCACTGAGCTCTACCTCTGAAACTGATAATACACTCCACATTAACTTGAATTTTAATTAAAAAATAAAATTAAAAAAAAAAAACAGCATGTGTGAGAAGAGACTGTGTCTCGCATGTGTCCAGGGAAAGCATGACTGGACTCTCGGCTTGTTGGGCATAACAAGGGTGACGACATGCGCCTGGTTTCGTGGCGGCCCGGGTTTGGTGCCACGGCTGCTCACCCAGGATGTGCCCATGTGACAGCCCCCAGAAAGTCCTGGGACCCTGAGACTCAAGGGGCTCCCACTGTGTCCTGTGTGGCCTGGGACAGGGAGGGACGCTGGGCACCTGTGGCCTCCACCAGTGCATCTTTCCGGCTGCTTTGCTCTCTCTCCTTTGCTGTAACCAACCTTAGCCCTAACCTAACCTGCTACTGGTTTTGTGAGTCACTCTGGTGGATCACCCAACAAAACGTTCTAACCTAAAGCCTCAAATACACCTGCTTTGCACTTTTTAAAAAATATTTATTTATTTAGAGTGAGAGCGTGCATTCAAGCAGGGGGATGGGCAGAGGGAGAGCGAGAATCTCAAAGCAGACTCCTCGATGAGCATGGAGCCCAATCCCAGGATCCCGAGATCGCGACCTGAGCCGAAGTCAGACGATGAACTAATTGAGCTACCCAGGCGGCCCCCTGCTTTGCACCTCTTTCATGATACCGCATGCTTCCCTGACCCCCGCCACAGAACAGGCGGCTGGGTTCCCACATACCATCCCCCAAAGGGAATCCTGGCACCAGCCTCACCTGTCAGGGGATTTGCTCCTCGGCTTGCCCTTCTGGTGGCTGCTTTCCAGGATTCGATCGATCCCAGAGAGTGGACAGCTGGCCTGGGACAGGCCATCCGAGACTCCTGAGTAGGTGATCTCTTCATAAAGGGGGGCTGAAGGGATGGCCGGGGAGATGGCCCGAAGGCCGTTGAGCGCCTCAAGCAGGGAGATGGGCTCATAGCCAGGTGGGATGCTGTCAGAGCTCTGTGGGGACAAGAGCAGGTAAGGGATGGGCTGGCCACACTCCCTGCCCACTACCCTGGGCCACAAAGCCCGAGACGCTGGCCTTGTGCCCCAGGGATGTTCTACTCCCCAGAACCTGCCTTCTGGCCATCTCTTGTCCACTCCACCTTCCAGGGACCTAAACCCCCCTCCCTCAGAGGGGCGCCAAGAACGCCACAGCAGCACCAGGCACCCCCCAGGGCTCCCTCGGCCATCAGCTGCAGCACGCAGCCTGGGATGCCCGAGTGGCCCGCTCTGTGCCCAGATGAAGGAAGACAGGGCAGCTAGAAAAGCCTCCCCACCCCTGGTCTCGGCCAGCCCCTACCTGGCTTTCTGTTCCTGCCTGGCAAGGGTGGAGAGTGAGGGGTCAGAGAGAGCAAGGAGGCTCAGGAGCAGGTGGAGAGCAAAGCCATGCCAAAGGCGGGAGAGGCCAGTGGAGCTGCGTATGTTCTAGACCAGGGAGGGCCTGGCCCCTCAGGGAACTTTGCCCCACAAAGGCATCTGGCCCAACTCGAGATCCTCTGTGTGCCTGGAACAAGCGTCCACTGGAGGCGACGCGTGTTCCAGGTGGTTCTAACGGGCACCCCTGGTTCAGAACCAGTCTTTCCCCTTGCTGGGAATGGAGCAAATCAACAGACTGAGTCTTGCTTTAGGGTTAGGGTGGGGAGATGCCCAGGTGCCGGGAGATGTTAGGCCCCCAGGCCGCTGTGCAGGTGGGACAGCCACCTGCCTCACTCTCACTATACAAGGCCAAGGGCAAATGCCCAGCGGTGTTCCCAGTGTGAAGCCCCCGCCCGCCTGACTGCTCTGCCGGGAGGAAGGGAGAGCTGCCTTTCTGGGCGACGATGGGACAGCCCTGGGGACCAGGGGAAGGCAGAAGGGCCAGGGTAGGGGTTCCCTGCCCTCAGCGAGCACCTCCTGAGTCCCCTGGGCCCCTGGACCCGTGACGCCCTGCATTTGCTCCCAACCTGCCTTCCACTTAAAGGCCAGTAATTACTGTGAACCTCCTTGCCCTCCAAAAGGAAAAACCTCCATCTCCGGGTTGGGCCTCCAGGGACTTCCACCTAAGTTCTGCCAAAGGGCCACGGGGGTCAGGAGAGGCTCCAGGCAGAGGTCCCCACCTGCTCCCCAAGATGCAGGGAAAATGCCAGAAAACCAAGTCCTTGGCCCAAAGAGCTACCATCCAAGGGGAAGAGAGCAGGGGATGCGGGACAAGCAGCAAGCGCGAGGAAGACGGTTTTTGCAAAAACTAGCAGCAAGGGAGCTCCACCTCCAACGTCATTCCACTGCCAGCAAGAAAAAAAAGGGAAACGAGGCCACTGGGGACCACGGGCAGAAGCAGAGCTGGCAAGAAGGGGCGGCCCGAGGCCGGTGCTGCTGCCGCTTGGCAGCGAGGAGCCGAGACACTGGCTTTTTGCCGACAGACCTTGAGCTTTGCTTGTTCCACAAAACTCCCTTCCTGGGCAGGGACGCCGGGACTGGGGAGAGTGGATTGGACAGATTAAATTAGCCAAACACGTTAGCCTGGGGTGAAAATGACTTCCCATACTTGTCATTGGTTGAATCATTAGGGTGCGGGGCAAAGATGTGGCCACAGGGCCAAACACACTTACTGTTTCCCTTTTAGGTTTCTTGCTGGCCAGTGAGGCGGGGTGCGCCTTTGATTTTTTAAAGGGACACTGTCAAGATAAAAATCATACGTTTTACAACTGCCACCCCCCAAACGGAACTGGAGCTGGCGGGCTGGGGGGGGGGGTCTTTCAGGTTTGCTGGTCTCTAGGTGTGCTGTGAGCCTGTGCTTGGCAAACGTAACCTGCACGTGAAGTCGGGGGACCCGGCCAAGTACAGATTCTGCAGGGACCTAGGCCTGGACATCTACACCAGGAGTTCTGCCGCTGGGAGAGCCCATCCCTGTCCCACTGCCCACCCACGGTCTGGGTCACCCCGAGAAGCAGGTCCTGGTCAGCACAAGTATGAGGTTGGCCAGGCGCTCCCCACAAGTGGGCTCAGCTGGGCACAGGAAGGGGACACTCCACCCCGTACCTCTGTGAGGCTCAGCACTGCCTCATAAACTTATCACCAATGTCCAACTCCTAGAGGAAAGCTGGGGAGAAAAATCAACCGCAGATCACCCCCACTCCTCAATGACTGTAACGGTCTCATGGAAGAAAATTTGGGTTCTCTGTGGCACTATGTGGAAATTGCTCATACAGGGAACGTGGCAGAGAACAAGAGCCCATTTATTTGGCTCTCTTTACCCTCCGGAGGGGAAGTCACAGGAGCATATAAAGCTTACAACCCAAACCCCAGTGTGCCCAGTAGTGTGAGCGGCATCTCGGCTCTCTCAGGGTAAGAGTGAAAGTCAGCCGGACGCTCAGACTCCAGGGCAGGGCCTGGGAGGGGCACAGACAAGCAACAAGAAAATCCACCATCCATCCCCGAGCCCCCATCCCTCGGAACAGTGACTTCTCTCCCAGGAACAAATCACATCTCAGGGCTACTCCAATCTCTACTAAAACTGCACTGCTGGGGAAAATATTCAGTGTTCCTAAGTCAAGCCCAACATTAAAGTCGCCGGAGGGCTGTTTCGGAAATAGTAAGCCCTGATGCCGACAGGGGTCCAGCAGGCAAACACCCGGTCTGGCCGGCCCAGGAAGAGTGGGGGTGATGGAGGCCCCACCTCCAAGCAGCCTTGTGTCTGCTCCAGCTGCAAGACCACAGCTTCAAGTTTTGAAAGAGAAGCCAGAAATCAGAGTCTTAAGGAAAATGTCCAGACTTTTAAACACTGGCCCAATATTCAGATCACAGTAGAGGCCAAACACATGACACCCACTGGCCCAGCGCAGAAGCCCATCTTGTGGGTGCGCAAGCCACAGGGTCTGGGTCCTTTTCCTCTAAGAATCACTGAGTCCCAGCAACGGATCCCCTGGCTGACAACTGCTGCGGCCGGCTGGGGCCTGGGAGCTCCAGACCTGGGCCTACCCCCCTGCCCGTCCCGCCCGCCCACGCCAGCCTCCCCTTCCTGCCCCATCCCTGTCTCATCCTATCTCTCTGCCAATGTCTCAGTACCTGCGTTTCTACTCTCATCCCCGTCTGTGTCTCTCTCCATGTCTCTGTGACTTTGTGTCTCTGCCCATCTCTCTCCATGTCTTTCTCTGTCTCTGCCTATCTTTCTGGGTCTCATCGTCTCTCTCCGTCTATCTCTTCAGCCAGAGAGCCATCTCTCTCCCCGAAGCCTGAGCCCATCTTCCCTCATCTGCCTGCAAGCTCTACCTCCCGGTTTCCCAGGAAGCTAGCGAGGTGGATGGCTGCCAAGGTGCCCTCCTGTGTCCAGGCTGGGCACCACCTCCAGGTGAGCAGAGAACGTGGGGGGTGGGGGACCATGTGGCAGCTGCCCACTGGGCGAGACCTCACCTCCTAGGACCCATGCAGTGGCCCTGGCTGTCAGGCTGGTAGAATGACGGTGACGGTGACGGACACTCACACTCAAGGCAGGGTTGCGAGCCGTCAGATGGCCCTTGCTCTTGGCAGAAACAACAACACTCTCGGGACCCGGGGCTCACTGGGCCCAGCCTGGGTCACCCCTTCCACTTCACCACGACCTGTGGGGACCAGCGCTGGCCCACCAGGCAGAGGAGGCCCAGGGAGCCGGCAGGCAGAGAGAGGGAGACAGTCTGGCCCTGCCCTTCCTTCTGGCCACCGACCAGGGCCTCACGACACGGCCCCACTGGGAACCTGAAGCCAACCTACCATGAAGGTAAGCCCTGAGGGCATGTGGACACCTGATAGGCTCTGCAAGTGGGCAGGGGCTTCCTCCAGACCCCCTCCTCTCTCTGCCCCACACCCCCCAACACAGAAGAAAAAGGCACTTACTGAATGCTCGTCGTGGTCCATGTTCTGGGCCAGAACAGGGCTGAAGGAAACAGGGGACAGGGCTCCCGGCTTCTTCCTCACCGCCCGGATCTGCAGAAGGGCCCGGAAGGCTGTGGCAGAGGGAAGGGCTCACATCAGGCAAGGAGCAGCCAGTTCCAGCACCACTGAGGCCCTCCGGGCTCCAGGGACACCAGCTACCCACCCACCCCACCAAGGTCCTAGAACAAGCCATGTTTCCAAATCAGAGGCAAAACAGAAGTCACAACAGAGCGGCCCGGAAGAGAGACAGATGAGCCAGCAGTGCACGACCCTGGTTCAGGCGGAGCTTCTGGGGCAACAAGCAGGGCGCCACCAGCCTCCCACAGGCCGAACCCTCAACTATACACGCAACAGTGCGTCTGTGTCACACCTGGCGACCAGCTAAAAGCTCAAGGTGTGCCCTGGACACTGGCCAGTCTCCTCCTGAAGTCATACCCAGGGTAGGCAGACATACGTATGTGAACGCCCGACAGCACAATCTCTACACTGGAAAACCAGCAGCAGCAAGAACTGGGAAAATCAATCAGGACGCAGGCTACTGGTCGTCCCAGACTGTCAGTTCCCCTAACAGGAGTGTAACGTTGATGAGAAGTGCAGCTTGCACCCACGGTACACAGCTGCACGCCGTACCAGCACCTGCCAGGGGCACCCATGTCCCCAGCGCTGACGGCAGCTGCTCCAGGCTGCAGGCCTCAGAGACAAGGGCCCCGGGGCCTCCACGCCAGGCCGCGGCCGAGAATGCCCAGGAGACAGGGCCCGTGGGGGAGGCAGGCCTTCGGCCCCCGCTCCCCTGCTCCTAGCCTGTTCCTCCCACGGGAGAGGCTACTGGCCCTGCTGCCTGACCCTCCAGGGCCAGCACGCCGGCCCCCTGCAGCCTCCCCCACCAACCCCTGAGGTCTCATCAGGGCTGGACTCTGGACCCCCAGACCCCACAGCCTCATCCTCTACTTCCACACGCTCGGCCTGCACTGTGGCCTCTGCACACACCCGCCTATCCCAGGGGGACAACAGGTGTAGACCCACCCCTGTGCCTTACTAGGCTGTGAGCCCCAAGACAGTGAGAAGACAGGCATGGCAGCTGGGGCCGCAGGGCTGCGTGGTGACGCACGAATACCCCCAGGAGGCCCCAAGGAGGCCGACCGGCACACTGAGGTGTGAAAGGGCAGGACGGCTTTCTCCAAAAAACCGCCCTCGCTCCTCACCCACACCCTGGGCTCCCTTGCTGCCGGGACCCACCCACCAGCTTGACGCTCATCTTGATCCAGTGGGATTTTCTGCCCTGAGAATGTTTAGATTCCTCCACTAGAGGACAAACACTTGGTTCAGAATTAGCTTTGAGAAAACGTCTGCAGCGCTCCAGGAAGCCCGTCCCTCCTCAGTCAGCTTTCCACCTCACCAGGTCTGGTCTTTAAATCCAAACGTTTTCCACTTAACGGCCGGAGTCACTGGCCAACGTCTATCTGTCCGGGTCCAACGTCACCGCAGGCACCCGCCCTGGCACAGCCTCCCAAGTCTATTTTCGGAGGATGAGAGCCACGCCATGTGCCAGCGCGGTCGCGTGGGTCCCAAGCACCTGTGCCCAAGGTGGGCGGCCTCCAGCCCCCGGCCCCCCGGGCCCCCCACTCACGCAGCCGGCAGATGGGGCAGTTGCTGGCCTGGTAGCGCAACGTGTCCGCGCACGAGTTACACAAGCACAGGTGCCTGCAGGGCAGGATCAGCGTGTCCCGCGGGTCCGACAGGCACACCACACACTCGCTGCTGTTGTCGCTGTTCTCCTCGTCCGACGGCTGTGGGGACACCGAGGGACAAGCGTCAGCGGGCTCCCCAGGGCCGCAGGCAGGGGCCAGGACGGGGGGCGGAGCAGGGAGCTGTTCCTGTCCCCAGCCGGCCCACCGGCGGCCCCCCACTTCCCCAGGGGGAAGCCCAGAGGGGGGAAGAAGGTCACCGTGGAGCAGGACTCCTCGGGAGATGCAGCCCAGAGCCGGCCCAGCCCGCGCCAGCCCCAAGGCAGAGAAGAGAATCAATGCCCCACCCCCAACACACTCTCCAAACCAAGAAACTTGGGTCTCGTTTTACACCTCAGAACCACAGAGAAAACGTGGAAACGACCCAGCAGCACAGAGCGTATCTCGCAGAGGACGCCCACTTACGGGGCTGAAACTGAAAAAAATCAGACAAGTCTAACTCGTCTAATCAAAACTAGTGTCTGGATCAAGAGTCAGTGAACGATGGCCCCACCATGTTTCTGTAAATCAGGCCTGACGGGAGCCCAGCCTTGCCCCCTCGTTTCGGAACAGCTATGCTGCTTGTGCGTTATCTGTGAAATCAGGGCATGGAACAGATCGGACAGACGGCCAGTCACGGCGAAGACACGCACTCCCAGGCCATTTAGGGGTGGCCAGCCCACCTGTGGTGTTAACGCGGGAAGCACGCTGGGGCGCTCCTTCGAGAATAAGGGCCTGACCAAACTGCCCTCACTTCGGCTTTCAGCCGATCTCAGCTGTCACAGAAGCTCGCATGTAGGACTTCCAGAAACTTCCAGAAACGTTTAAAAAGAGATGGCAGTTTCCCTCGTGCCTTTCACAAACGATGACAAAGGTCCAGGCTGATTCTCTGGCACCCTTCCCTGGCCGGGCCAGACCACAGCTCCATCAACCACGCGCTCTGGCTACAGGCGCACAGGGGCTCGCGACTGGGGGGCGGGCCGGCTGGCGAGGGCAGCGCGGGCTCCCCCTGAGGGGGTGCGAAGGGGCCCCACACACCAGGCTGTCCCTGCCCACCTGATGGCTGGCAACCCAATGACATTAACAAGTCAGGGAATTTGCTGGAAAAAGAACAAAATGCCCACAAATTCTGTTAACTCTTCTATTTATTCATTCATTACTGTTACTATTTTTAAGTCATCCCTACACCCAACGTGGGGCTCGAACCTACAACCCCGATATCAAGAGCCGCACGCTCACCGACCCAGCTAGCCAGGCGCCCCTCCCTATTACCTCCTTTAAAAAATTAAGGAAAAATGGGCACCCGGGTGACTCAGTCAGTTGGGCATCTGCCTTCAGCTCAGGTGATGATCCCAGGATCCTGGGATTGAGTCCCACCTCAGGCTACCTGCTTATTGGGGAGCCTGCTTCTCCCTCTGCCCTTCCCCCCTGCTCGTGATTATGCTCGCTCTCTCTCAAATAAATAAAATCTTAAAAAAAATAAATAAAAATAAAATAAAATAAAAAATTAAGGGAAAATGGAGTCTGGTGTCGCAGGGCCTCCCAAGGAAGGCACACACAGGGACTAACTCATCTACCACCAGCCCACGGGGCCCTGGCCAGGGCTGGGGGACCCAGGCAAGCCCCTCCAGGAGCCTGTTTTCATGTAGGTGGAAGGGAAGCTGGGGAGCGAGCTCCTCCTGCACTCCCAGCAGATACCACAAGCACATACCTTTGTCTCCTGGTTGTTCTTGTTCTCGATGCCGTAGATCTCCTGCAGCAGGTAGCTGACCCGGTCCACCTGGAGAAGAGAGAGGAATCTGGGCACTTGCTAGCCCCCACTTAAGGGCTCCGCTGCACCCACATGGCCCAACGCCACTTTCCAGGGGCCAGGCTCAGGTCCCAGAGCAGGTGTGGTTTGAAATTCTGTCCACCTGCCCCTCAGGGAGTGGGCCCAGTGCCAGGAGAAGGGCGGAGAACCTGCTACTTGCCCAGCCCACCCAGGAGCACGGGCAGTGGGGGGGGGGGGGGGGAGTCCGGTGGTTCTGCCCACCAGGGGGCATGGAGCCAACCTCTATATGGGCCAGACAACCATACCCCATGCCCACCTTGCCATCCCCCTCACCAGAGAAAAACCACTTTGGACCCACCCTTCACTAGCCGCACAAGAGTGACCAGAGTCAGACCTCACGCTGACCATGTTCAGAAGTGGTCTGAGTCACTGCATTTCCCACACAGTCCTACAGACGCAAACACTCCGTATCAAGCCAGACAAGACTTGGGGCTACGAGTCAATACTGGGACACGGTGGGCACACGCATGCACCCGAGGAGGCAGAGCCGGATTTCCCAGAGCCCAGACGATGACTCTGCAGAGTGAGACGGTGTGTGTGTGTCTTTTAAATCAAAAGGGGCCACAATATTTCTTCTACCAGACTTACAATTTGCTTCTGCTTTAAAGGTTTCACAGAGAAGCTGCCGTCAACATGCTACAGGGAAGAAAGACAAAGGTGAACTCAGTCAAGCTGGTATCACTTAGCACTCCCACCGGCAAGCTGAAGGCCCTTCCTCGGCTGTTCCACATCCATGGCTGAAGGACGGAGCCCAGCCAGGTCTCTCCAAATGTGGCCCTCTGACTGCGCCTCGAAACTACCTGGAGGTCTGCCTCCTGGGTCCACCCAACTCTCTGGGTAGTGCCCAAGCACACTCAGGCTTACAACCATTGGGCAAGTTCTGACAACAGAGCAGAGCCCCCAACAGCAAGCAGCAGCACCTGGATGGCAAGAACTCAGCCCACTTCTGACCCCAAAAGGGCTTGGTTTTGTTGAGAAGACAAACGTACACACGCATATGTATACGGGAAAGCCCAAAATCCTAAAAACTCTAACAACTAAAGAGGGTAAATGTGTCTGGTGGCATCTGGGGAGACACACCGCCCAGAGTTCGAGGTTAATGAAGGTATGAGATCTGAGGGGCGCCTGGGTGGCTCAGCCGTTAAGCGTCTGCCTTTGGCTCAGTTCATGGTCCCAGGGTCCTGGGATTGAGCCCCGCGTCGGGCTCCCTGCTCAGCAGGAAGCCTGCTTCTCCCTCTCCCACTCCCCCTGCTTGTGTTCCCTCTCTCGCTGTGTCTCTCTCTGTCAAGTAAATAAAATCTTAAAAAATAATAATAATAATAATAACATGAAGGTATGAGATCTGAGATCTCGTGACAACGCCAGTTACCCCTCGGAATCAACCTGGGCTCTAAACCGGAAGCGCAGGTGGAGTTTGCCGTCGACGGCCCACCCACCTCACCAGAGAAGCACACAGCAGTTATCATCTCTTCTGACAAGGCCGGGCATGGGGAGTGCAGCCGGTGAGAGAGAAGCCCGCCTTCTGCCCTGGGCGCTCCGTGCCACCACAGCCCCAGGGGCCAGGGGGAGCACAGGACAAATGGGCCACAGGGTCCTTGGGCCCAGCTGTCCTAACTCCCCGGGCAGTCTGGAAAGACCCAGATCACAGGGAGGAGCTGGACGCTGCCCTCAACGCTCTCAAGGCTGCAGACACACACCGGGCTGAGGAAGCATTAGCAGGTTGCCCATGTGTGGTGCAAAGCCCAGAAAAGCAGCCCGAGCCTGGTTTCCTCATGGGGGGCGTCCCTGAACCTTGTCCACCCAGGCCACAGGCTGATGCTGGAAACACTTTACAACTGCAGAGTGCAGGCCAGTGTCAAAGAGCCCCGGGGGGAAGGGGTTGTCAGACATGACATTCTCCAACAGGGGACACACCCCATTACCTCCAGCAAGGGTCTCTGTGAGTAGGGATTTCTTCCCTGCTGCATTAACACACACACACACAACTGCCTGGCCCCCATGAACAGCAGTGATTGGTAACTGGGACAGTCCCTAGGCCCCATGACATCCTAACGCAGAGACGATGGTGAGGCTGACCATTCTCTCCCCACTGCACCCTACATAACGTGGCCACAAAACATGAACAGCTGGGGAGACTGGGGACTGGGGTCTGCATGGAAGAAACGGGAAAACATCTAAGCTCAAATACGCATCAGGCCAAAGGTAATATTAAGTGAATCCTTGCACGTAAATGGCCTCTGTATGAGAGGCACCCACAACTCAGGGACTCCAGGAGGGCCTGGATGTTTTCTTTTTGTACCACAGAGGGTCTGGGGCCATGCTAGACAGGTGGCAGACCCTCAGCAACCCCACCAGCATTCACTGAGCATCTACTACATACCAAGGACACAAATAACAAGGGGCCCAGTTCTGTCCTCAAGGACATCAGAGGGTAAGTACCACAAATGTCTGTCCCGGAAGTCTGAAAGGGCCCAGTGGGGAGTGAGGTCAATGTAGGCCTGCGGGACCGGGTGACACAGCCACCTGGAGGCAGGGCAGAGCATGCATGTGAGGACCAGGCCAGGCTGAGAAGCTCCAATGGGCCTGGTAGGAAAGGCAGGGGTCCTGAGAGGTGACAACCTGGATGATCCGTCCACATCCCACAGAAAAGCTGGTCTGTGATGAGAGCCCTCCACGTGGGTGTCTGGGCCCCTGTGCTGGTAGGTTATAGGGAGTTCCAAATGGCTGGCCTCCCTAGAACACGGCCCCTCACCACACACTAGATGCCCTTTGAAAACCCTTCCAAAGGTGGTGCTGTCTTGAGGCCTGGCCTCCTGGAGCCCAGAGTAATTGGAGTGCCTCCCACCTGCCCCGACCCTCTGGCACTAGGCCCATCTGGCCAAGCCCTGACCCCAAGTTCAGACTTCTAGTCTCAAAACACCCGCGCTCCCTGGTCACAGGCAGAGGCAGGGTTCCCTGGTCAAGGGCAAAGGCACTTACCTTTTCAAAGGCGGCTAAGAGCACGTGGGCGTGGCCAGTCACTTCCACAACTGCCCGGGAGAGAGAGGAGGGAGCGGTCAGAGCTGGCCTCAACCCCTCCTCTGCCCCTACCCTGAACTTCTCCTTCTGAGCTGGAGCTTCCCTATGCTCTCAGCTGGAGAGCCCAAGCCCACAGGAGGAGCGTCCTCATCTTGCCTTCCTCTGCCTGCAGGGCCCGCTGCTCCCACTAGCCATACCTCCCCCAAAGCGCCTCCACGTGCCGCCTCCTGGCTCTGAACAGAGGAACATTCCGACAGGGCTGAGAAGCCAGGACTCAGCCGGGGGCGGGGGGAGGGGGGGGGCCCATGCTCTAGGCTGGGGGACCGCAGCCCACAGTAGTGGCACGGGAGAGACCCAGCAAGACCGGCAGAGGGAGAAAGGGCCGGTCAGCCAATCAGCGTGGCCTGATGCGCTGACAGCCCCCAGCACGGGGCCCACCCTGCTCTGCGCCTTCTCTGCTGTCTCCCGGCATCCCGCTGAGCGTGGACCACCACAAGCCGAGGCCTGGCTAGCTGCTGTCACCACGGTGGTGAGTCGCTGGGAAGGAGCTGAGTCGGGAGAAGGAGCTCAAGAGGAGGCCCCGCAGCCCAGCTTGGGGCTTGAACCCCCTGGCCCTAAATGTGCTGAGTGGGCTGAGCTGTCTTTCACCACTTCTGGAATAAACTCCTCCCTGCTGACTGAGGTGAGAAGGGCCCACAGCCCGAAAGGGAGACAGACGAGGAAAGGCCGCTCACCGTCTCCTTCATCCACCACGGCCTGGATGACCACTGGAAACATGCCCCGGTCCAGGTCAAAGTTCAACTGAGGAGAAAAGGAAGCGAGAACAGTCAGACTGAGCTGGAGGGAGGAGGTGCGGTGAGCAGGATGGTGCCGCGGTGGAGCTCACAAAGTCAGACAAAATGGCGAGGGAAGACAAGACAGCTGGCTGTACCTCTTTTTCCCTTTTGGCAAAATCGATAAAAATGATTAAAATGGCAAATCTGTGTAACTTAGTAGCACTAAGTGCATCTGTAAGGCCACGTTAACCACCACCACCATCCATTTCCAGAGCACGCTCATCATCCCAACGGGAACCCTGTCCCCATGACCACACACACACCCTCCCCACCGGGTAAGCCCCACGCCACTTGACGTCCACGGATTTGCCTGGTCTGCACATTTCACGGAAGTCGGACCTCACAGCACGTATCTTTCCCGTCTGGCTTGTTCACTGAGCACGTCTTCGAGGTTCACCGCACACATCAGTGCTTCCTCCCTGGGCTGAGTACTCCTCTGCTGCACAGCCAGACCCTGCTCACCCATTCGCCTGCTAAGGGACACCGGGGCTGTCCCCCTTCAGGCTGCTACGCACACCAAGGGAGCAGACAGCACCAATGACATCGGTCTGAGCCCCAGGGGACCCGGTGTTCAGCTTCGTAAAGAAAGTGCCTGGCCTGCCCCCCCCCCCAAGGGCAGAAGGAAAGTGGCCACAATGTGGCCACACAGCTGGCTGCGTGGCTCCCGGCTGCTCCCTGGCCAAAGGCCACTCTCCTCCCCACACACATCTACCTGGGCATGGTCTCCACATCTGCTCAGCAGCAGGGGCCACAGGCCAGGATCCACAGCCCAGACGCGACCAGCTGAGGACACCCCAGGCAGGGCTGCAAAGGGAGGCCCAGAAGGTGCCTGTGGGTCCCAGACTGCCAGTGGGAGGTGGGACTGGGAGGGACCAGGTACTGGGATCAAGACTGGCTCCACCACCTGAGCCTCAGTTTCCCCGTCTGTAAAACAGGGATAAAAGCTGTGCCTGGTGCGCGTGGTGGCTGAGAAAACACGCAGTGAGCACCAGCCATGCAGAGCTTGGCATGTTCAGGCAGCAGGAGCTAAGGGGGACAGTGGCCCAGAAGGGCCTCACGGAGAGACACAGGGCATGGACTCCCAGGCATGCAGGACTCTAGGAACCCATGTGCACACTAGCTCCGTGTGGGGAGGTGGAGGGCGTGTTCAGGCCCCCCAGGACCCAGCCAGGCCTCATGCTCGCTGTAGCCTCAGGGTAGAGGGCTGTACCACAGAAATCCAGACTTTGAAGAGGGAAGGGCCCCTCTCTGCAACGCCTGCCTTGCTCTGGGGTGACTCATGGGGGGTCAGAGGTCATCACCTGAGACAGGAGATACAAGTCATCCACAGCTATGCAGGGGACAGGGGCCCCTCTGCAAGCCTGTTTCTGTCCTCCCCACCCTGAGTCAGGGCACAGGGGGCCATCCTGCCGTGACCATCCTGCAGTTACCCTGGTGACGTGGACACTGGGTGACGTGCAGGCATTGCCCTTCCAAGGGCTGTAATCAAGCCCAGGAAGGGGAGGGTTCAAGTAAGAGCCCGATGGGGAGCAGAGCTTTGTGCACACAGCCTACTTGCCCCTGCACATCCGGTCAGTTTCTGGAATAGAATCCCTGGTGCTGCTGGGGGGCAGGGGGCGGTTAACAACAAACTCAGGGCTCTGAGAAGCCACGAGTGACTGGCATTTTCTTTCTCCCTTGCACACTGAGTGCAGCCTCAGCACCAGTCGTGTTTTGCTGGTCCTGGTCTGCGCGGTGGCTCCACCAGCAGTCAGTGACCCGAGCCCTGCTCTCCAGTCTCGCGGGCACACGGGGTGCACAACGGACAGACCTTGGTCTTCCTGTCTTAAGTCATACTGAGACGTGTTTCGGCCGCTCAACCAAAACTGTCCTGACACAGACAATGTCCGAAGGCTCTGTGGCGGCAGGCCTGCTGGCACCTCCTGCTAACATTCACCCGGCGACCACAGCCACGGAGCCCAGGGCAGCGGCCGACGCTCGGTATTCCTTAAACAGACTCGGCAAGGCCTGAGAGAAGACCCGCCCTGGCCAGCCCAGGCTGAGGCTAGGGGAGCGCGATGGAAATGAAGGGACACGGGACCCCAGCTCTCCCTGGCACCAGGGCCCGGCACCGCGCCGCCCTCGAACGCCCAGCCACGACAAGCCTCCACATAGGGAGCTGACACCCCCCACCTGCCAGCCAGTTACGTGCCCTGTGCCTCCGAAGATGGCGCCACAGCCACATCACACCGGGGCACCAGGGGCTACAGGGCTCAGGGGGTGAGGATCATCTCCCCTAAAACGCCCCGCACCCGACTCACTCCCTGGAGCTAAGTACGCTGGGGGAGGACAGTGACTTGCGCCCACCCCACAGTCTGAGGGGAACATTTATTTTTAATGCAGAAAGAGAGGCTTTTCTTCGGGGAGAGCAGCTGCCCAGGTCGGGAGGAAGAGCTGGTACTGGCCAGAGCCACACTGGGCTGTCCAGCCCAGGCCCCACTCTTCCCCAACGCAAGCACGGGTGGGAGCCTCGCCCATGGCACCTCGGGCTCTCCTGCCCCAGAGGGGCATCCAGAGAAGGGTCTCTGCAAGCCCTAGTCCAGACGGACACCGAGAAATAGAGAAAAGGCAAAGGACAGAAGAGGAGGGGGACATGGCTCTCAGGAAAATAAATGGAAGCCATGAGGAGTTTGGTAGGGAAACCCAGTAAAGAAGCCACTCCAGCCACCAGGCCATCTCCAAGATGTCCACAATATGATTCAAGTTATGCATGTATGGGAACGGGGAGATACGGGAGATCTCCATGCCTTCCTCTTAATTGTGCTGCGCACTTGAAACTACTATAAAAAAGTCTTGGGACCCCTGGGTGGCTCAGTCGGTTAAATGTCTGCCTTCAGCTCAGGTCATGAGCCCAGGGTCCTAGGATCGAGCTCGGCAGGGAGTCTGCTTCTCCCTCTCTCTGCCGCTCCCTCTGCTTGTGCATGCGCTCTCGCTCGCTCTCTCTCTGACAAATAAATAAACAAAATCTTTAAAAAAAAAAGTCTAGAAAAAATAAAATTAAAGGGGGACTGGATGGCTTAGTCGGTTGAGCAGCTAACTCATGATTTCGGTTCAGGTCGTTATCTCAGGGTCCTGAGGTCCGGTCCTAAGGTCTAGCCCTGTGCTGGGCCCTGCACTCAGCAGGGAGTCTGCTTCTCTCCCTCTCCCCCTCCCTCTGCTCCTCCCCCTGCCCCCTTTCGCTAAAATAAATTGTTTTAGGGGTGCCTGGGTGGCTCAGTTGTTAAGCGTCTGCCTTCGGCTCAGGTCATGATCCCGGGGTCCTGGGATCGAGCCCCGCATAGGGCTCCTTGCTCCGTGGGGAAGTCTGCTTCTCCCTCTGCTACTCCCCCTGCTTGTGTTCCCTCTCTCACCGTGTCTCTCTCTGTCAAATAAATAAAATCTTTAAAAAGGTAAAATAGATAAATTGTTTTAAAAAATAAATTTTTTTTTAAAAGATTTTATTTATTTGAGAGCGAGCGGGCATGAACAGTGGGTAGGGACAGAGGCCAGAGGGAGAAGCAGACTTCCCGAGGAGCAGAGAGCCCGACGATCCTGGGATCATGACCTGAGCTGAAGGCAGACGCTTAACTGACTGAGCCACCTAGGTGCCCCAAAAATAAATTAAATTAAAAAGCAAATCATAGCCAAGAGAAATGAATACATCCACACAAAAATTTGTACAGCATTGTCCATTAATAACCCAAAGCTGGAGACAACCTGAATGCCCACCCACTGATGGACAGATGAACAAAACGTGATCCAACCACACAGGGGAGTGTTATGAACCACAGGAAGGAACAAGGTACTGACACCTGCTACGACATGGACAAAGACACAGTGTTCAGTGACAGAAACCAGTCACAAAAAAAGGTCACATACTCTATGATTCTGTTTATGTGAAACATCCACAACAGGCAAATCCAAAATGACAGAAAGTAGACGAGTGGCTGCCCGGGGCTGAGGGACTGGTGGCGAGCACAGCGTTTCCTCTGGGGCTGATAAAATCGGATGGCGGTGATGGCTGCACAACTCTGAATACAGACCTTCTGCAACTTACGACAGGGTTACGGCTTGAGAAGCCCCTCATAAGTTGAAATTATCAGAAGTCGAAAATGCACTATCGCACCCTGCAGAACTTAAACGTGCTCGGAACACTGACATCAGCCTACAGTTGGGCAAAATCGCCTCCCACAGAGCCCATTTCATAATGAAGTGCTGAGCAGTATCTCATGTAATATAGTGAATACTGTACTGAAAGAGAAAAACGGGATGGCGGTCAGTTTGTCGGTCGTTTACCCTCGTGAGCGCGTGGCTGACGGGAGCTTCGGCTCCTGCCCCCACATCCCCAGGGAGGACCGTGCTACAGATCGCTAGCCCAGCGGAAGATGCAAATTCAAAATTCGAAGTGGTTTCTACTGAATGTGTTATTACTTGAGTGCCATCGTAAAGTCGAAAAAGCAAAGTCAAACCATCTTAAGTCAAAGGACCATCATCTATCTGGTAAATCTTACTGACTGCACACTTTAAAAGGGCAAATTATACGGTATGTGAATTAGATCTCAATAAAATGTTTTTATTTTATTTATTTTTTTAAATATTTTATTTATTTGACAGAGACAGACACAGCGAGAGAGGGAACACAAGCAGGGCGAGTGGGAGAAGGAGAAGCAGGCTTCCCACTGAGCAAGGAGTCTGATGCTGGGCTCGATCCCAGGACCCTGGGATCATGACCTGAGCCGAAGGCAGACGCCTAACGACTGAGCCACCCAGGCGCCCCAATAAAATGCTTTTAAAAACAAACTACAGAGGGCGCCTGGGTGGCTCAGTTGGTTAAGCGACTGCCTTCGGCTCAGGTCATGATCCTGGAGTCCCTGGATCGAGTCCCGCATCGGGCTCCCTGCTCGGCGGGGAGCCTGCTTCTCCCTCTGCCCCTCCCCCCTCTCATGTGCTCTCTCTCATTCTCTCTCTGAAATAAATAAATAAAATCTTTAAAAAAAAAAAAAAAACTACAGAATAATATGTATATGGCATGACCGCATCTTTACAACAAACAAATGCACATGGGAAAAAAATCTGGAATATACACACTGAATGGTCAGAAGCGGTTGCCTCTGGAGAAGGAGCTTCAACTGGGGAGCATTTTGTCTTATAAATTCTGTATAACTTGCACATTTTACAACAAGCATACATTACCGTTGTAATCTTTAAATAGGCAAGTCCGGGGAATATGGCTAAAGAAGGGAGGCTGGCATGATGCTGGTGGCCAAGGGGACACCTGCCTGTGTCACAAGACATCCCTGGTTGTCACAGCTGCAGTGGGGGTGCTCCTGACTGACACCTGGCGGCCAGAGGCCAGGGATGCTGCTTGAAATCCCACAGTGCACAGGATGGCCCTCACTTCAGAGAATGACCCGGGTCCCAAGGGTCAACAGCACTGAGGCTGAGAAGCCCTGATTGAGGACAAGTCTGGGTTTGGGGCCTGAGTATCTGTCAGGCCTCGAACACCTGCCAACATCTGCTTCAGCACCTCCGGCAGGCAGCAACACAGGGAGAGGACGTAATAACTTCCAGGACCTTCTATCTATGGCAAGGCTTAGTTTCCCAACCACGGTAATAACTGATAAAGTTTCCACTTAAAAATACGTCTAACAGGGGATGCCTGGGTGGCTCAGTCAGTTAAGCATCTGCCTTCGGCTCAGGTCATGATCCCAGGGTCCTGGGATCAAGTCCCACATTGGGCCCCCTGCTCAGCAGGGAGTCTGCTTCTCCCTCTGCCTGGTCTGCCTGCCACTCCCCCTGCTTGTGCTTGCTCTCCTTCTGTCAAATCAATCAATCAATCAATCAATCAATCAATCTTTTAAAAAAATACATAAAAGAAGAAGTGAGCTGATTTTGAGAACACATTAGCTGAGGAGATAATCAGAGAAGGCAAAGACGAGGAAGGGATCCTGGGATAAGTCCACCTGAGACAGGCCCATGTGGCTGCCCACCACACCCACTGCGCCTGCCACCACCCCCGCCATGTCCACCATGCCACACACTGACAAGTTGGAATGTGGGCCCCTCATGCTCTAATGGATGAAAGGGGGTGCCCCTATGTGGCGCTTCAGACCGGTTTATGAGCCAAGTGTGCCCCCAGGACAACTGACCTCACTAGGAGTCTGGAACCCAAACTGTCGGCCTGACTCAGCACATCTGCAAATGCGCAAGGATCTGTTCTGTGGCCAAAACGCCAGCCAAGGGACTGCTCTATGAACAGAGGTCACCAAAGTGAGATGCAGCCTCAGCCAAACCCTCCCCACAAGCAACCACAGGGTGGGGGCACCCACCTGTCTGCCCAACCCCCTTTTGCCCACCCAGCCCCCTCCTTTCTTTGGGGAGCAGCTTCCCCCATTCACAGGAGGGTGAGCAGGACCACATGCACCTGCTGGGTATCCCAACCAGGACTGTTGACATGCAGGGATGGAACCATCTGACAGAATGGGACTGGGGGCAGGGCTCCAGTGGCCCCATTCTTCTTTCAGAGGACTTTCTCACCCAAGTGACACAATGGCAGCTTCTGTTGCCTGTCATCAAAGCACCCTGACAAGCAAGCACACACACAGCCAAGAGCAAACACCGTGGCATGCCTTCACCTTCTGACATAGTCCACAAGCCAGAACCTTCCTGCCCAATTCTTATACCACCCATACCCCATTGTCTCCGTTCCTTCCCCCTAAATTTATTTTAGTAATATACGAATGTCTTCTTCAAGAAACCACAGAATTCAGCTAAATGAGAGCAGCCTGATACAAAAGGCCACATACCATATGACTCCATTTATATAAAACATCCAGAAAAGCCAAATCCGTCCAGAAAGTAGATTAATGTAGGGGCTGCAGCTAGGAACAGGGATTAACTATAAGTGGACATTGAGGGACCCTAGTGGAGATGGAAATGCTCGAGAACTGGATTGTGGTGATCATCACATAATTCATAAATTTACTAAAAAGCAATGAATTATATACGTAAGAGGGTAAGTTTTATGGTACGTAAATTATACCTTAACAGCCCCGTTGTAACAATTCAGACACGTTTACAGTATTGGCACGCACACCGTTCACGTACAGTGTGTACGTGTGTGCGCGTGTGTGTTCTAGAATTCTTTGTCTTCTCCCAAGACCCTGTGCAGCTTCACGGGCATCTTCCCTAGTTTCTCCTCAAGATTTATATACACGTACATGTACCTGCAGAAATGGTTTTGTGCATTTTTCCTGTTGTCGTATATATGAAATTATACTGTATCTGTCAGCAATGGCCCTCCAAGCCCGTAAGGGGATATCAGTCCGTATGGTACACATAGATCCCTTTCCCCTGCACTAAGGCTGCATCTGTTATAGAAGTGAACCACGGTGCCTGTATTATGCAGATGGTTCCCATAACCTCAGTGAACAAGCAATCAGACATACAGGTTGTTTGCATTTTTTGCTATTACAGACAAACCTTCCATCACCATCCTTTACATAACGTAAATTACCATCCCCAGCTATGGAACCACACAGTGGAAGGGGTCCTGCCATGCTGCAGTCCCGTGGCCCCAACAAGGCACCAAAGCTGGGTACCGGAGCCTGTAACTGCCGCCAACACTCGAATCAAACCCCGCTCTCTGGTCCAGCACACGCCCGACTGAGCACACAGACCTGAGTCAGCAGCCACTCCTGATGCTTATCAACCACGCAAGGAATCTGAACAGACAGGCCCCGAGGTGCTCGTCCCCCACTACAAGGGGAAGGGAATTCGGGAAAGGGGCCCCGGGAAAGGGGGGCCTGGCCAGAAGGTTACCTCATCATCCTTCCACTCGGAGAAGTCGATCTTGAAGGAGGGCAGGGAGAACTGCTGGCTCACCCCTCTCTTGTAGTGGACGGTCTCAGACTGCAGGGCGGGGCTCTTGGGGCTGTACCTGAAGGGGCAGCCAAGAGAAAGGCCGCTGAGACTCTGCCGAGAGCAAACGGTCTGCTGCGCCTGGTCGTCAGGGCGAGCCCCCGAGCACAGGGGCCTGTGACACAGGGGCTGGCAGCCACTGGGCTTTTGGGACCGAGCGGTAATTGGACATGCAAGACCCACACTTCCTTTCTCTTCCTGCAAATGCAAGCCCTCCTGTGGCGGGGCAGGGCGCTCAGCCTGCCACCAACTTCGGCGGCCTCATTCTGCTCACCACCAGCTCTGCCTGGGGCCTGCCTGGTCACAAGTCCTCCAGAGCCCACACCTGCCCAGTAACTACCTTTCCAGATCTAGCTACACCTTTCCATTTGGCTTTTATGGTATGTTTACTGTGCTGAACAAACATGTACTCAGCGGGCAGCGTCCCCCACAACCCCCACGCCCAAATGCACGGGCGTCTGCTCTTCCATATTCCAGCGGCAGTCCACCCACACCTGCTCTCGCTACTGCCAGGCCCCGAAGCTGTCCCCTAGCCGACACACAGAGCTGAGTGCTCTGCAAACACCGCACGGCCTTCACTGCGGGGTGAACACCAGACGGTCTCCAACATCTTGCTACTGCACACAACGCTTCCAGGACCTGCTTCTACATCCATCTGAGCCACATACACAAGCACATTCCCAAAAAAGGAACAGCTGGGTCAAAGGGGACTCACATTTTCAATTCTGATCAACTCTGGCTTCTCCCTATTCAGGAATCCAACATACCACCCTGAAAAAGCTTCCTCCACCCACCCCACACCTGCCATTCCTGGGGCCTCTCTCAGTATCTTAGACAAAAGACACTCTGGAGAGCCTGAGAGACTGGGCGGGGGGGGGGGGTTGTTCTTGTACGCACAAAGAGAGAGGGCCCCTCCGCCAACCAGAGGCCAGAGGCCCTTCCTTCCCTGTGAGAACCCAGGCCTCGGCCCGTGGTAAAGACACAGGTTAGGACTCTGCTGCCATGCAAACCTGAGATTTTCTCTGGGACCTCAGATCTGCCCCCTTTCTCTCCTGTCAGGAAGTAGGGAGGGAATCAGGGAATGCAAACAGAATTTCCAGGCTAAGGTAAAGGTGCCTGGGCACAGGCTTCCGGAGCCTTCCTGCTTCTCTTTGTTCCGGTGACTTCTGTGCTCACACCACTCAACTCCAGCAAACTCGGAAGAGAAGCAGGGCTCCCAGCCACTCCGGCCAGGTCTCAGGAAGGGGACAGAGCAGCGTTTTTCTCCCCCCAGAGGAGTCTCCCAGGGGTCCAAGACAAAGGCTCCAGGGGCTATGCCCTTGGCTCATGCGTCCACTGTCCTTCTGGGGGCAGCAGACTCTCTTCTCAAGCATATGGAACCTCTTACCAGCCCAAGTGTGACACAGACAAAAGCTGGGGGAGTGTGGGGTGGGTGGGCCGCTCACCCACACCTGCCGGCCTACCCCTGTCCCTTGCCCCTCTCTGTGGCAGCCCTCAGACCCCTCCCCACTAGCCAGGACCCCTCCACTGTGGCAGCCAAACTAGCAGAAAACAGAGAACACAGAAGCTTCACCCCAACCGATGTGGCACTGTGGCCCTCCCACACGTGTCCTCCCACCTCCTGGTCAGGAGCCAGAGCAAGTGAACATGGCCAAGGACAAAGGCCAGGCAGGCGGGGTCACAAGGAAAGAGCCAACAGGGCACCGGGAGGGCCCGGGAGGGACCTGAATGGCCACATCAGTGCCTCAGGGCACTGTGCTTACCTCTGGGGGGCAGGCCCCCAGATACTCCTGGATCTTCTCATTCTTGGTTTACGGTAAGAACACATTTGTAAACGGCTGTGTCATTGAAAAAACAAAAGTAATCCAATGTTTGGGTCAGCGTGAAGCCTCAAAGAAGAAAGTACAGGAAAAGGAACCTTGTCCTCTTGTTGCTGCCAGGGCGGGTGCGAGTGGGGGGGGGTGGGAACATGGGGGGATGGTAAGGGCAGCCCCTCAGGGGCCCAGGCCCCCAGCCCACTGAGCCCCACAGAGGACAAAGCGTTCACTCCCTGAAGGGGGTGCTCCCCACAAAGCCCCACCTCTGAGTTTTCTCCAATAGCAGCGGCAAGATCCTTATAGCAAACACGAGGGGGCCACTCCAGCCACCCCCACCCCCAGCTCAGGAAACTGAGGCACAAGCCGGTCCTAGGCCAGGAGCTGTTTGGCAGGTACAGGGCAGGGCCAGCACCTGAAGCCTGAGCTCCAATCCCAGATCCAATCGGGCCCTCAGATGGCTTTCCCCAACAGGACACAAGCAGGTGCATTTTCCCTGGTCTGTCCGAATCTGCTGCTGAAGTTGCAGATTTCAAACTTTTGGGGCCAGCAGGACCCTTACTGCAAATAAAACCTCTAGAAGCTCAAACACACAACATGGACCACAGAGGCCCCCCCAGGCCCAGAGACTCACACCGCAGTCCCGTTCAGGAACTCCTCCACCGCCTGGCAGTAGATGGTGATGGCCACCCGGGCGTCGGCATCAAAGGTGAACTCCAGGCTGTAGAGGACACGGGGCTTCTCACTGTCCTCGGAGGGGCTGTCTGTACCATCTTTGTACCTGCCCGGGAGGCAGAGGAACAGGCAGCAGGTCAAGGGTCCTGCCTGTAAGCGCCCCCACCCTGCACAGCACGCGCATCCCACCCCACCCCCCGGCTGGGGTCCTCTGAGGTGGTTGCCTAGAAATGTGGAGGCCCACTCCCTGGTGGATAATAAGGCCCAACACTGCAGAGCTGTCCTTTCCTCGCCTCCTGCCCACAGAAAGGGAGGAGTCCTCCTGGTTTAGAGACAGCCCCAGACGCCTCAGGCCATCCAGGTTTAAAGCAGCTTCTCGGCCTGCTCATGCTGGACACTGGATCATTCCTGGCTGGGGGCTGTCCTGTACACTGCAGGGTGTTGAGCAGCATCCCTGGTCTCTGCCCACTGTGGGCCCGCAACACCCAATCCCCCAGCTGTGACGACAGACACAGGCCAGGGTCCCTGGGGGCACAGCTGCCGGTTGAGAAGCCCTGGTTTAAAGACTAGAGTTTCATAAGCAGAGCCCTGCTGGCCTCCTCTCCCTCTGCACCCACACCCCAGGAGCAACTCGGGGGCTCGAGACCTGCCCACGGCCTTCTGGCTCCACGCCTGAGGTTAGCAGAGCCCGGGGTCGCTCGCCACTGCCCCTCTGCCAGGTATCAGGGGCCAGAGAGCAGGGCGGGGCGGAGCCTTACCTCACAAGCCGCAGGGAGTCTTTTCGGATGTTCACCAGGCTCCTCAGCGTCTTCACCGGCTCATGGGGGGCGGGGGTGACATAAGGAAACTAGAGGGAAAAACCCAAAGCAGTGCCCGGTGACTCCCTAAGGTGCGGCCGGGGCAGAACACAGGGATGATCAAAGCAACAGTCACAAGTCTGTACTCCCTGGCCCTTGTGCAGGCAGCGCAGCCAGTGAGCGGAGGAGCAGGGCCCAGGCCACCCTGGAGGATTCTGGCCACACGGATCTCACCACGGTCCTCCAATTCCACGAGGACCCTCAGCAAGCATAACCTGGCCCGAGGGACCCTGGGGGCAGTGAAGGCTGGGGCTCTCAGGCCATGTGCCCACAGGTGGGACCTGATGCCCACTGCTGCCCCGAATAAAATGGGATTTCCACAAAAGGACGATGCTCAGTAAACATTTTGGAGGAGACTAGCACACAGACACACACAGATGCATGCTGGACACTGGAGTCATCTGGAGAGTTCTGGCCTGTGATAGCACACCGGAGCTTTATTAGATGATGTCACTGGGGAAACAGAGGAGAGGGCACACAGGATCTCTCTGCATCACTTCTCACCACTGCAGGTGAGTCTACGATGCTTTCAAAGTTTAAAAAATAACAGACTTATGGAGGTCTGTAAGAGCCAGGCCCTGCATGTGAGCTGAGGCTTCAAAGATGGAAGTGAGGTTGCTTTCTTGTTCTCATGGACTCAGGAGGCTGGGGGAGATTCAGCACCACCCGAAAGTCCCAGCGGTCCCATGGGTGGTGGAGAATGGCCCACCAGGCCCTAGCTCCTTGCCTACCATCCACTAAAGGATCAAGATTTCATATCAACCAGCTGCTCTGTTGTAAAACAGCCTAAAGATTCCTGGTCCAGAGGACACCCCACCTCCTGTCAGGCCCAGGAACACCCCAGGGACTCAGCAGCCTTAGGAAACAGAATTCAATGTCTCCTGAAAGAGAGGGCCTCCTGCCTGGCCCCTCACCCACACTGGGGACCATCATTTCAAAGTACAAAACCCAATCCCCTGCTCAGCATCCCCCTCCCCACTGGCCCTCACTCATCCTTCTCCCTCTCTCTTTAGTTTCCATTCGTGAAATGTTCTCTTCTTCATTGTCAGCACCCCCTGCAGTGAATGGGGTGGGATCTGTCCTCCACCCCCAACCCGTGGAAAAGTCCTAGGCACAGAGCAGGTGCCAAATGAGTGTTGAATAAATGGACAACAGTGTATAAGCATGTACTTCTCTGGTGACTAGTGAAAGCGAACTTGTGGTAGTCCCACAGCCTGGATGCACTGATGCACTGGGCTCAGCAACAGTCATCCTGTCTCCAGTGACCAACCTGCAGCCATCCAGGCTCTCAGGGGGCAGCACCAGGACATGCCGCCGCACACACACACACACACACACACACGTCCCGCCAGCAGCTCTGTCCGTCTGGGGGGACTCAGTGCCCGCTTGTCCTCGAAACTGGTTGTGGACAGCGGAGGGGAGGCACCTCACCACTGCCACCCACATGCCTAGCCTGGGCGAGACCCACCTGGACCCACCTGGACTGGGCGATTGCCCAGGAAATTCAGATCCATGTTTTCTCCAAAGAGGTAACCTTCAGGGTGGGGGGTGTCAAATTTCTCACCTCCCATGAAAAAGTGCGAGGCAAAGTAGTTTCCTGGTTAAAAAAGAAACACAGTTGTGGATAAGGAGGCTTGACACAGCCCAGGGTAAGTGTGGGATGGCCAAGAGGCTCAGCCCTGAGAGCAGCTCCATTTGGAAAGAAGCCTCACAGGCGGTCCCTCCCATTCAAGGCTGTAGCGTGGGCCTCAGCCCTTCAACCATGTCAACCCCTGCACCCCGACACCCTTCCTGCTCTCAGACCTCCCTTCCCTGCTCAGGGGCGCGTCCTGTCCTCTGCTCCACTATCCTTTCCCTCTGTGGCAGCCCGAGTTGTGTCCTCCTTAAGGATACGTCTCAGTTCCTGCCCTACACCCGTGTGTGTGACCTTAGTTGGAAACAGGGTCTTTACAGATGAAATCAAGAGGAAGTCAGACTGAAGTAACAAAACTGGTAAAAATACATATATTGGTAAAACTCAATAAACTGACTCACAAAATAAAAGGATGTAAAGTACAACACCATACACCTAAAATGTGGGGACGAGAGGAATAGAAGAATGGGTTCAAACTTAAGTGACCATCAACTTAATACAAACTGCTATATGCAGAGGATGTTACATAAAAACCTAGTGGTAAAAAAAAAAAACCTAGTGGTAACCACAAATCACACACCAGTAATAGATAAGCAAAAAATAAAGAGAGGAAGCCAAGTTCATCATTAAAGAAAGCCAACTAGGGGCTCCTGGGTGGCTCAGTCGTTAAGCGTCTGCCTTCGGCTCAGGTCATGATCCCAGGGTCCTGGGATCGAGCCCCCAATCGGGCTCCCTGCTCCACGGGAAGCCTGCTTCTCCCTCTCCCCCTCCCCCTGCTTGTGTTCCCTCTCTCGCTGTGTCTCTCTCTGTCAAATAAATAAATAAAATCTTTAAAAAAAAAAAAAAAAGAAAACCAACTAATCATGAGAGAAGAGAGCGGGAAAAGAGAGGAATGGAGAAAAACCACAAAAACAACCATAAAACAAGTAACAAAATGGCAATACATACATACCCACCAATAATTACTTTGAACGTAAATGTACTAAACACTCCAATCAAAAGACAAAGGGTGATGGCATGGATAAGAAAACAAGACCAATCTATAGGCTGCCTGCAAGAGACTCATTTGAGACATAAAGACATGCAGACTGAAAGTGAAGGGGTAGAGAAGCATTCATCATGCAAATAGTGTGAAAAGAAAGCTGGGGTAGCAATACTTACATGGGACAAAATAGACTTTCAAACAAAGACTGTAGAAAGAGATAAAGGACACTACATCACCCAACATGGGCGCACCCAAAGACACAAGTTAAGAGCAACTATAAAGGAAGTAATTGATAGTAATTAACCCACTTACATCAATGGACAGATCGTCCAAACAGAAAATCAACAAGGAAACAGCGGCTTTGAATGACACACTGGACCAGATGGCTCTGACAGATATATTCAGAACATTCCATCCTAAAACAGTAGAATACACATTCTTTTCAAGTGCACATGGAACATTCTCTAGAATAGAGCACATGTTGGGCCACAAAACAAGTCTCGACATAGTCAAAAAGATCAAAGTCATTCCATGCAGCTTTTCTGATGACAACACTATGAAACTAGACATCAACAAGAAAAAAATCTGGGGATAGCACAAATACATGCTACTCAACAATGAATGAGTCAACCAAGATATCAAAGAGGAAATAAAAAAATATACGGAAACAAATGAAAATGAAAACACAGTGGTCCAAAATCTCTGAGATGCACCAAAAGCGGTCCTAAAGAGGTTAGTTTACAGCAATATAGGCCTACCTCAAGAAGCAAGAAAAATCTCAAATAAGTAACCTAACCTCCCACCTAAGGGAGCAAGAAAAAGAACAAATAAAACCCCAAACCAACAGAACAAAGGAAGTAATAAAGATTAGAGCAGAAACAAACGTAATACAAACTAAACAAATAATAGAACAGATCAATGAGACCAGGAGCTTGTTCTCTGAAATGGACAAAATCGACAAACCTTTAGCCAGACTCATAAAAAATAAAGAGAAGAACTCAAACAAAATCAGAAATGAAAGAAGAGAAATAACAACCCATACCAAAAAATACGAAGGTTCACAAGAGAATTTTTTTTTTTTTAAGATTTTATTTATTTATTTGACAGAGAGAAAGACACAGCGAGAAAGGGAACACAAGCAGGAGGAGTGGGAGAGAGAGAAGCAGGCTTCCCGCTGAGCAGGGAGCCCAATGTGGGGCTCGATCCCAGCACCCTGGGATCATGACCTGAGCCGAAGGCAGGCGCTCAACGACTGAGCCACCCAGGTGCCCCGACAAGAGAATATTTTTAAAAATTATATGCCAACAAATTGGACAACCTGGAAGAAATGGATAAATTCCTAGAAACATACAATGTCCCAAAACTGAATCAGGAAGAAACAAAATTTGAACAGACCAATTACCAGCAATGAAATGAATCAGTCATCAAAAAACTCCCAATAAACAAAAGTCCAGGACCAGACGGTTTCACAGGTAAATTCTACTAAACATTTAAAAAGGGTTAATGCCTATTCTTCTCAAACTATTAAAAAAAAAAAAATAGAAGAGGGGCACCTGGGTGGCTCAGTCAGTTAAATGTCTGTCTTTGGCCCAGGGTCCTGGAATCGAATCCCTACATTAGGCTCCTTGCTCAGCAGGGGTCTGCTTCTCCCTCTCCCTCTGCCTCCTCCCCACCGCTTGTGTTCTCTCTCTCTCAAATAAACAAAATCTTTAAAAAAATAAAAATACATAAATAGAAGAGGAAGGAAAGCTTCCAAATTCATTCAATGAAGCCAGCATTGCCCTGATACCAAAATTAGATAAAAGACGGCACAAAAAAAAAGAGAACTACAGGTCAATATCTCTGATGAACACAGATGCAAAAATCCTCAGCAAACCAAATCCAACAACATTAAAAAAAAGTCATTCACCATGATCAAGTGGAATTTATCCCTGGGATGCAAAGGTGGTTCAATATTTGCAAATTAATCAATGGGATATATCACATCAAAAAAAAGAAAGGATAAAAACCATATGATCACCTTAGTAAGAGGCAGAAAAAGCATTTGACAAAGTACAACATACATTCATGATAAAAACCCTCAACAAAGTGAGTTTATTAAGAGGGAACATACCTCAACATAATAAAGGCCATATATGAAAAACCAAGGCTAACATCATCCTCAATGGGGAAAAACTGAGAGTTTTCACCTAAGAAGAGGATCAGACAAAGACGTCCACTTCCACCACTGTTATTCAACAGAGTACTGAAGTCCTAGCCACAGCAATCAGACAAGAGAACGGAATAAAAGGCAGCCAAATCAGTAAGGAAGTAAAATTTCCACTATTTGCAGATGACATGACACTATATATAAAAACCCTAAAAACTCCACCAAAAAGCTACTAGAACTGATAAATGAATCCAGTAAGGCTGCAGGATACAAAAATCAATGTACAGAAATCCACTGCATTTCTATACACTAAGAATGAAGCAACAGAAAGAGAAATTAAAAAAAAAAAAAAATCCCATTTACAATTGCACCAAAAATAATAAAATACCTAGGAATAAACTTAACCAAGGAGGTGAAAGGCCTGCACTCTGCAAACTGTAAAACACTGATGAAAGAAACTGAAGATGTCACAAATGGAAAAATATTCCATGCTCATGGATTGGGAGAACAAATATTGTTAAAATGTCCATACTACACAAAGCAATCTGCAGATTTAATGCAATTCCCATCAAAATACCAACAGCATTTTTCACAGGACTAGAACAAAGAAGCCTAAAATTGGTACGGAACCATAGAGACCCCAAACAGCCAGAACAATCTTTAAAAAAAAAAAAAGAAAGAAAGAAAGAAAAAGAAAAACAAAGCAGAAAGTATCACACTTCCAGATTTGAAGATATACTACAAAACTGTAGCAATCAAAGTGGTCTGGTACTGGCATAAAAATAGACGCGAAGATCAATGGAAGAGAACAGAAAGCCCAGAAACAAATCCACAATTATATGGTCAACTAATCTTTGGCAAAAGAGGCAAGAATATGCCATGGAAAAGGCACAGTCTCTTCAACAAATGGTACTGGGAAAACTGGACAACTAGATGCAAAAGAATGAAGCTGGATCACTTTCTTACACCATACACAAAAATAAACTCAAAATGGATTAAGGCCTAAATGTGAGACCCAAAACCATAAAAATCCTAGAAGAGAACACAGGCAGTAATTTCTCTGACATCGGCGGTAGCAACATTTTTCTAGATATGTCTCCTGAGGCAAGAGAACAAAAGCAAAAATAAACTGTTGGGACTACACCAAAATAAAAAGCTTCTGCACAGCAAAGGAAATAATCAACAAAACTCAATGACAAACTAACGAATGGGAAAAGACATTTGTAAATGACATATCTGATAAAGGGCTAATAATATCCAGAACATATAAAGAACTTATACAACTCCACACCAAACAAAACCAAATAATCCAATTTTAAAATAGGCAGAAAACATGAGATGTTTCTCCAAAGAAGACATTCAGATGGCCAACAGACACAAGAAAAATGCTCAACATCACTCATCATCAAGGAAATGTAAATCAAAACTACAATGAGCTCTCACCTCACACCTATCAGAATGGCTAAAATCAACAGCACAAGAAACAACAGGTGTTGGGGTGCCTGGGTGGCTCAGTTGGTTAAGCATCTGCCTTCGGCTCAGGTCATGATCCCAGGGTCCTGGGATTGAGCCCCACATCAGGCTCCCCACTCAGCGGGAAGCCTGCTTCTCCCTCTCCCACTCCCCCTGCTTATGTTCCCTCTCTCGCTGTGTCTCTGTCAAATATATAAATAAAATCTTAAAAAAAAAACAACAGGTGTTGACGAGGATGTGGAGAAAAAGGAACCCTCGTGCACTGTTGACGGGAATGCAAACTGGTGCAGCCACCGTGGAAAACAGTATGGAACGTTCCTCAAAAAGTTAAAAATTGAACTACCCTACGATTCAGTA